CTAAAATGATAAAAGGGTCCATTACGGGACTAAAAAACAGTTTACCCTTATTATTATTATTATTATTATTATTATTATTATTATTTCAATAATTGGAAATGATCATTAATAATAATTCTTTGTAATGAGGAGCAAAATTAATAATGATGTTTAGCTCTACCTATACAACACAATCATTAACTTTTTAGAGATGGCAATTGATCAAACCTATATAATTTGATTCTATCTCATATTTAATTTTTACCTTTATTTTCTTTTCAACTTTATAAATTCGATAGAGTAGACAACGAACTTATATCCAAATAATTTTATAAAATCTAGGGCTTTCTTTACGTATTCTATTTTGGATGTGTTTAGTTTAATTATATAAAAAAATTAACAATGATGAGATCAAATTATAACCTAATTTCAAATTTAGTACAAAGAAGCACCTTGATTTCAGTATAATTCTTCTTACATATCACTCCGGCTTTTATTAATGGCGCTGGGTTGGTTGATTTGGCGTTGGATTAATGGCGCTAGGTTCGTTGATTTGGCGTTGGACAACCGACACCAAATTTTGCACCACTTTTTTGTGTTGCTTCAGTTCAACACCAAAAAATAGGGTTGCTTTTTTTTCTTTTGTTTTTAAATTTTAAATTTTAAATTTTAAATTTTAACTTTTAAATTTATTTCTTTAAATTTTTTTAAAAATATTTTAAATTATAAAAATAAAAAATTGTTAAAAATAATGGAAAAAATTGAATATTTGGAGAAAAATAGTGAAAAATAGAGTTATGATTAGAGTAAAATTATTGTAGTTGATGTTGATGTTGATGGGTTGAAGATGACCTAGCCCTTTCAATATTATCAATTAAATATTTATTTATTTAAAAAAATAAAATAAAAATTAATTTTACATTCAAAATAATATGTGAATATTATTTATATCACATCCAATATCTATTATAATTTAAAATTTTACTATTAAGACTCAAAACTCAAACTAACCGCAAACCATGGTTGGCTCTTAGGGAGAGCAACATGAGCAAGTGGTCAGACCCCTGGTATAAAAGAGTCCATAATTTTAGAATTTAGATCATTGCTATTATTAGATTTATTAAATTTTAAATTATATTTTAGATTTTAATTCTTTATTTTTTTTCTACAGTTATCCAATTTAATTATAATTCTAGAATTAAAAATTAACTTAACTTTATTTTTATTTATCTTTATTTGTACAAAGATTTTGCAATGAAAAATACATTTGGAGATTATAGTATTATTATTATTATTAGTGTTGTTATAATAATTATTATACTATTGCTTGTTACAATAATCATGATATTATTTATCTTTTGTGCTTATGCTATTTTATTGGATATATGAGTAAAATAATTTTATTTTTTATAAAATTTATTATTATATTTATCGTTAATATTATTTTAAAAATAAATTTAATAATATATTTATAGTCTATACTTTATTATTTTGCTCAAGCCTAAGCTACCCGCAAACACACCATTAAAATAATTTATTGGTATATTTCATTTCAAATATACCAAATTTTTATTTCTTTTTATTATTATATACAATTTTTTCTTTTATCATTCTAAATATAATTTATAAAACGATTCTTAATGAAAATTAACAAAAAAAAAAAAAAAAAGAAAAACCCTTATAAAAATTATACATAAAATATGTGTCAAATGTAAAAAAGCAAATAAAACGCTAAGTTGATAATATTAGCCTAAAGCCCAATAATTTTATGGGCCAACTTATTGGGCCCAGCCACAATAATAACCCCAGGCTATTTTTAAGCAAAATGTTTAGAGTTTTGTTTCTTTTAACTTTATAACTATTACATTTTCATATAAAAATATAATAAAAATTTTGAATTGAAATAATCGTATAAGTATATAAATACGTATTAATGTAATATTTTCAATATAATATAAAAAATTTAAAAATAAGTATTTGATTTGATTTCTTTTAAATAAAAAAAATTAAATTTGTGAATGGTGAAAATTGGGAAAAGTCTTCCAAACAAACACATCCTAAAAGAAAACATCTTATTACTTAGGTAAAAGGGAACTTGTAATGACATCTCCAAGCAATGAATATTGTTTGAAAATAGACTTGAAGATAAATTTGTGTACTTTCACAAAAACACTTAATATAAAAATATAATACTACTACTATTTTATCTCGTAAAATATTTAAAAATAATATTTTTAATAATTTAAAATAAAAATACCAAAAATTCTAAATATATAATAGTCTTGCATGCGCAGAAATCCAAGTCAACAAAGTTTTCCCTCCCATGCAATTTGAATGACTTGCAACTTTTTTCATTTTTATGTTATTTTTTTTCACTCGTTCCGAAATTGTAGTACTATAATTAAAAGAAGATAGCGTAGGTTGTCACTATAAAAAAAGTACACACATTTTCAAATATATCTGTCTGCTCAAGTCAAACAATAATAATAATATAATTATATACTATTTTATTTCCCCTTAAACGCTCAACTAATACATTTATATAGTTTTATTTATTTATATTAAATCAAAATGCTTTATAATATTTACAGATACAATGCTCCATTCTTATAAGTATTTATTTACTTTTTATTATGTAACAAACAAAAATTTTCAAAATTTATTAAATACATTAGGGTGTGTTTGTTCGGGGGATTGAATTATATTTCCACTATTCATCCTATTTTTTCCCTCCAAAAATATCAAATCAAACACCTATTTTTCATTTTTTATATTATACTAAAAATCAATTTTACATTCAAAACATCACATCAACACCTATTTATATCACATCATATAACTATTCAAATTCAAAATTTTTACTATTCAAATCCCAACTCAAAATCCAAACCTCCAAACAAACACACCCTTAATCAACTTACCATCAGCTTATACAATGTTATATACTCCCTCCCTCCCTCCCAAAAGAGATGTCTTATTGGATGTTGGCACGAAAATTATGGGTATAAAGTAGAATGTAAAAACAGTACTCTTACTTTTTGAAAGATTTTAAAAAGTAGATTAGAGTAATAATTAGGTGTAGTTTGGAAAAATAAAAATAATTTTGTTATAAAATGAGGATCACAGTTACTAAATAAGAAAACAAAACAATTATTTTAGGAGGAACGAAAATAAAAAAAATAAGACAAACTCTTTTGGAACAAAGTAAGGATATAAAATCAAACTGCATAATTCTATGAAAGATAAAGAATATTTTAGTTAGTAGCCACCCTAAGATCACTTAGGACTTTTTGTTTATTCTTATTATTTTTATTCAAATATTTTTAATTATGAACAATGGTTATGATGCTGAATAGTAATATACAGCATCACACAAACAGTGTCTAAAATAAAGATAAATAAAATAAAAATTTTATTAATATAATACAAATTCAATTTATATAAATTGAGAATATGAATAATAGTTTACACAATATATATATATATATATATTTATTCTAACTATTCTCTAATTATGACCCGCCACATACATGATTAATTTATTATATTTACTATACTAACTTCACTTTTTGTTTTATGTTATTACGGCAAGAGATTAAGAACAAAAGTACGTTCAACCAAACGCCAACCTATAATATGACAAACATTCCACATTCAATTAAATTAAATTAAATTAAATTCAAAATTAACATATGTATAATCTATGGTCAAAGGTACTTTAGGCTAGGGTTTCAAAGTAAGCAAACTTTTTTGGTGTATTTTTATTTTTAAAATTAAAGAATTATTTGATATAATATTATTAAATAATTTTTGTGAAAAAATGATAGACCAAACTAGTTATAAATAATACATGTATATATGGACCAGGGAATAAAACCACAATAATATTGGAAGGTGTTTGATTTGTATATGTACTAACTGTGGATATGATTTTTGTAAGAAAATTAACGCTCCATAGTTTTATATTCGCTCCGTCCGCTTTAGATCACATTTACTTTTTGCGTTATTGTACTCAATATTAAAATATTTTTATATTTGTATAATTTTTTTTTTACAAATATCCTTCTATTAGTATTATAAGACACTAATTGAAGTATTTTTGTAATTTTTTTTTTAATTTGTACTACGTTTTGATATAATAAATAATATTCAAAGATAAACACGATAAAAAGTAAATTGAACCATTAGAATCAGCCGAAAGTAATATCTAAAATCATGAGATTATTTAATAAATAATTTTTTAAAAAAAACATAAAATAAAATAAAAAGCAACCTTTTGTACATATATCGTGAATGATATTTGTGTTTTGAAAAAAAAAAAAAAACAAATTAAAATTAAAGCAATAAACACTAAAATTTGTAAGTTGATTTTATTTCTTTTTTATATACATACATATTACTAATGAAAAGAATTATAACCTTAAATATACGTAGACTCTATTATATATATATAATAATAATAATTTAATTTTTATTTATTTTAATTTCGTTGAATAATGAAAAATAAATGCTGCCCTTAAATATCTTCACGAGTGCTACTGCACAAAAACATAAACATAGCTATCCGAAAGTATGGGTAAACCCACGGTCGAACTTAATATCCTGCCGATCAGACTTAACGGGAAAGTCACACTAGGCGAACCATGTGTGGCAAGTGACCTGAGGTGTCGGGGGTTTGAACCCATGACCTCACGATTACAAGTCCAACCCGGTGGTCTTTTACGGGACGATCTAAACAATCACCCTTCATTAGTGAAGTGGTGGTCACCATTATAAATAAATTGAATTATTTTGCCAAACATTTAAATGCATGTTTTCTGAACCACCAAAGCTCAACTATCATACTCCTTAAGAAAAATTGTTTTATATTTTAACGATTAGTATTAGTGATGAATTATTTATTCTGGTATTTGAGTAATTATTTATTTATTTTTAATAATGTTGATATATATATTGTATATATATTTTATATATTGATATATATATATATATCCTACCTAATATATCTCTTGTATAAATATAATATAGTACCCTAATTGTGTTTTAATAAAAATAGAATTTATTCCATAAATCGTAACAAATAAAAAAATATTATGTCAATTTTTAATTACTATTATTTTTTAAATATTTCAAATAGCACAAAAACAAAAAACAAACACAATCATGGCCACGCTGTACGTAGTTAAATTAAAGACCTTGATTGCACACAGAGCCAAAAAAAACAAAAAAAATGGTTCAAACCTGGATGGGGGCAGAAGCGTAATTTCGCAAGCGGGATATGTGAATGTGATTCTGCTCCTGCAATCATCGTCCCCCCCACGGCCCTGCATCTCTCATTCGAATTTAATATCAATATTTTTGAAAATAAAGATCACAAGTAGACGTTAGGCCATTCGGCAGTTATCTTCACAAACCTTTGAAAAATCAAAATCTTCTTCTTCCTCCCTGCATCCGTGCTCGTCACTGACAAAGAACAACAACATCATCAGCAAACACTGTGAGTGTATCTGTGTGTGTGTCAAATCACCATTAGAACAGACAATCCCTTCAAAATCTCCATTCTTGGACCTGCAAAAAAAGATCTCATCTTTAGCCCTAATTCTTTCCATGGTTGAAAATGGGGAGTAAGAAGAAAGAAGATGGAGAGTCGTCAGAGTCAACTGAGTCCAGCACGAGTTCTGACAGCAGATCCACCTCCGATGGTGCTTCCGGCTTCGGTTGGCCCATCGCCATGGCATCCAATTCTATAAAAAATGAAGTGAAATCCAATTCACAGCCTGTTCAAAACAAGCCTTCTTCAGGTCAGCTTCTGTAATGGCATATATATGTATATGTATATTTATGCACGTACTTAATTAAATCGAGAATTTTACATCGACTTACAGTCACAGAGATGGAAATGATGAAGGAGAGATTTGCAAAGCTGCTGCTTGGAGAAGACATGTCTGGAAGTGGGAAAGGAGTTTGTCCAGCTCTCACCATCTCCAACGCCATCACCAATCTCTGTGGTAAACAGAGAACACATTAATATATGTTTCTTACCTCAAATCGATCTGGTGTGAATAATTGACATGAATTCAAAATACGCAGCCACTGTGTTCGGGCAGCTATGGAGGCTGGAGCCATTGCCACTGCCAAAGAAATCGATGTGGAGAAGGGAAATGAACTGGCTGCTTTCAGTTTGCGACCATATTGTTGAATTCAAACCTTCTTTGCAGACATTATCCGACGGCAAAAGAATCGATGTAATTTCCGATCCACCTTCTAGAACATTTCGCAAGTTCTTCTTCATCTGTGGATGATGATTGCAGTAGTTTTGTTTTTTCTTCGATCAGGTCATGACTTGCAGGCCAAGATCAGATCTTGTTATCAATCTTCCAGCTCTCAGGAAACTCGACAACATGCTGCTTGTAAGAATCAATCATTACGCCATTTTACATTGTCAATATCACTCTGATGCTCATATTTTAATTATTGCAGGAATTATTGGATGGATTTACCGATTCAGAATTCTGGTACGTAGATCAAGGTATCGTGGCGCCTGAAGGGCAGCGCCGCCGCGACGATAAGTGGTGGTTGCCGGTGCCCCGGGTGCCTCCTGGCGGCCTGTCCGAGGCTGCAAGAAAGCAATTACATGGAAAGTATGAGTGTGCAAATCAGATTCTTAAAGCTGCAGCTGCCATTAACACCATTGCTTTAGCTGAGATGGAAGTTCCTGAATCATACCTGGAAACTCTTCCAAAGGTTCGATGTCGCCCAATGTAGCCTTTCAATCGCATTGCCAATGTGTTTTGACAGTATGTGTACTTTGGTTTTGGAATTTCAGCACGGAAGAAGCTGTCTCGGGGATCTCATCTACCGGTACATCACTTCGGAGCAATTCTTCCCAGAGTGCTTGCTCGATTGCCTCGATCTGTCCTCTGATCATGCAGCCCTGGAGATAGCGAACCGAGTGGAAGCAGCGATGCATATGTGGCGCAGGAGGCAACAACCGAAGCCCCCGGCTCATCCGCAGCATCATTCTGCAGCCAAATCGTCTTGGGAGATTGTTAAAGATCTCATGACATATGGAGACAAGAGGGACTTGCTCGCTGAAAGAGCTGAGAAACTTCTGCTCTCCTTGAGGCATCGAGTCCCGAGTCTCACACAAACTACTTTAGACACCACTAAAATACAATGCAACAAGGTTCAAAATCTGTGCTTCATCATAATTTGTAACTCCAAATGTATTCAACTTTCACAGTATCTGTTGTTTCGATCCTTACAGGATGTTGGGAAATCGATCTTGGAGAGCTACTCGAGGGTCTTGGAGAGTCTAGCGTTCAACATTGTAGCACGGATTGAGGATTTGCTCTATGTGGACGACATATCTAAGGAATCTGATAACGTCTCATCAGCTGCTACAGATTCCCAGAGAAATGATAGAATTCTGCATCCGGTGCCTGCCTCAGGCACGCCCTACCGATCAGCATACACAACTCCAAACTTTTCGCCTGCTCCTCTGTTAACACCTGCAAGAGAAGAGAGGACGCCATCAATTAGTAGCACCTGCAACAGCAAAAACGACAACAACAACAACAAGAATGCACGACGTGGTTTAGGAGTTAAAAGAGTCCTCACAAATTATCTAGCAACTGAAGCAAAGTCGAAGAACTATGGACACATACTGGGAGGACCTGGTTCTGTATCTAACAGAGCAAGTGAATGGGCAGCATATTGTCCATGGGGGGTTGGGAAAGAATCACCCTCTGTACGTAACAAGTCTTGTGATCCTTAACCAAGTTGATGGACAGTTATGCGCCGAGACAACTCCCATTGCCCCTTGCCACGCCACCTGCCATGCTAAAGCCTCCGGTGCTCCATTCCAGCAGAAACAACAAAAGGATAGGCAGTGTTCCCTGCCTGATTTAGTTTCATGTCTTAGTTTTTCTTTGATTGTTTACAGAAACAAGCTCAGCATAATATATGCATAATTAAAAAGATGACAGTGTGTATTCTTAGCTTATATTGATTGCTTGAGGTGGTTTGTATATTTAGTACCTTGATCATTATCTGTGTGTATTTACTCAAAATCTTACGAACGTACTTTGAACCTGAGAAATGTGAAAGCAACATCATCTACGAGAAAAAAATAAAGAAGAAGAAGAACACGTTGATGATACGATGTTTTGCTTCTTGATCTTGTCCCCAAAAGGTGCCTACATTTTAAAATCAATCACAATCTCTATCCAAAAACTGCTTAAAACATGATATTATAAATATGATAATGTATTATATAATATACCCAATAATCTATAATTCCACATCACAGAGAGAGTAAAAGTTGCCAAACAAGGGAAAGGAAAGAAACACTTTGAACAATGGTTGAATGTTTCTCTCAATTCAATCATTGTTTTTTGTATCTTCTAATTGTTGATTCTGTAAATCACATGAAATTTAGGATTAAGCCAAGCAAAATTACCAATCAATCTGTTCCAATTATGTCTTCCTCTTCCCCATTCACACCAATCCTAACTAATAGCAGAGTAGGTGAAAGGAGTTTCTTGTCAAATCAATCAGAACAATGGTTAGTTTCTTTCAATCCAATCATTGCTTTTTTAACCTCTATTTGTTGATTCTAAATATCACATGAAATTTAGGATTAAGCAAAATTACAATCAATCTGTTCCAATTGTATCTTCTTCTTCCACATTCACACAACCCTAACTGATTACAGAGTAGGTGAAAGGAGATTCTTGTCAAATCACTCTCTCCAGCACACACATTACCAACAACACAATGAAAACAGCAATGATTGCACCGACAAGCACATTCAGCGTCACATTTCCACAACAAATTGACACTTAGCTCGAGCATTTCAGTTTTAACGTCTAAGTGCTGCACTAGAACCCTAAAGACTATATAAAATCACAGATTATGGATTTCTGCTCACCCCACTACCAACACTACCAATTTATAATGGATTTCCAGTCATCCCCAAAGCCTCCGCATCAACCCTATATAAACCCCGTCGCAATTCACCAATCAATCAATCAATCCACACACAATCAGAAGTACCAAAAATGGAGGCATCGATTAAGTACCTGCTCGTCCTCGGATTCCTCGCCATCCTCGGCATCAATAGCGCTTACGGAGCCGGCGAGTGCCCTAGATCGACGCCCGACGCGGAGGCGATGAAGCTGTACCCCTGCGCCTCGGCCGCGCAGGACGCGAACGCGGCTGTTCCCTCCGACTGCTGCGCTCAGGTGAAGCGGCTGGGGAAGAATCCTAAATGCCTATGCGCCGTCATGCTATCGGGCACCGCCAAGAGCTCCGGCGTCGACCCGAAGATCGCCCTCACCATTCCTAAGCGCTGCAACTTCGCCGATAGGCCCGTCGGCTACAAGTGTGGACGTACGGACGCACATATATAAATAACTGTTTTTATTATTATTATTATTATTTGGATAGAATTAATTAATACACGTAATAATTTTATTTTTTTTTGGCAGCTTACACTTTGCCGTGAAGGGATTGGAGACACGTGGAAGAATGGACGGTGATGATCAAATGCTCGTTTGCTGATGCTATGTATGTTCAGTTTTTATCAAAAGCTAGTTCATCTAGCTGATAATAATAATGTAATTATATAATTCAATAAATAATAACTTTCGTTGTTCTACTTATCTCATTTTTATTCATGATACAACAACACATTTATGAATGAAAAAAAAATATCGGGTAGCTTCCCGTAAGGAATATATTATTATAAATGTATATAATCATATTTATATATTTAAAAATATATATTATTATAAACAAACAACTCTTAATTATGCCTCCATGGAACACATTTAAGCCCCTTTTTGCAACGGCCTTCCCACGAGCTTTTGCATGCGCCGATGCCGTCGATGCAACAGTAACACATTAATCCGACGGCTGAAAACGCCCCGGAATAACCTATAAATAAGAATTAACACAACCATTAAGCTACACAGCCATCTTGAAGTTTTCTTAGGACCTAAGTAAAAAAATAAATTATAAGTATTATAAACATATTATTGATTTTATTTTTGAATAATATTAATGATAAATATAGCAATAAATTTTACAAAAATAAAATTATTTTAATCATATATTCAATAAAAAGTCATAAGCACAAAGTATATCAAAAGTCAAAAATAAATAATATATCATGATTATTGTAAAACCAATAGTATAATAATAATAACAACAATACTAATAATAATGTTATAAACTCCAAATGTATTTTTATTGCAAAAGTTTTGTACAAATAAAGATAAACAAAAATAAACTTAAGTTAAATTTTAACGGGGGCATGCTGGTGGAAAAAAAAATAGAGATAAAGAGAGGGAAAAAAATGTTAAGGTTTAATTTTAAAATTAAAATTAAATTGGATAATTGTTAAAAAAAATAAATCTAAAATCTAATTAAAAATTTAATATATCTATTATAATGACCTAAATTTTAAAATTATGAATCCTCTAGCACAAGGGCATGAGCGTTTGCTCATATTGCTATCAAACTATTATTAGAAATTATAAAAATACATAGTACTATTTTTTGTCCCATAATGAATACTTTTCAATTTTGGATAAAAAATTTATTAAATTAAAATATACGGAATAAATATAAATTTAATTTAGTTAAACATATAACATCATTAGACCCGAGAATCTTTTTATTTTTATCAATCTCTTCAAAAAATAAATATTTTTATCTATATTTTAAAATTTTTTTTTTATAAAATTATTTTATTTTAATTATAAATATTGCATATATTTTTTATTTAATTAATAATATAAAATTTTATTCTTTACAAAATAATATACATATTGTATATATATTTTTTATTGCAATATAATTTTTAAAATATTTAAATATATATTCTAATTTTTTATCATATATGTTAAATTTATTTTAAAACTCATAATATTATTAAAATATAAAAAAATAATAAAATAATATAATAGTTCACTGCTATTAACTAATTAAACATCATTACTTTAATTATTGTATCGCTAATGAAATAATGAAATCAATCTTGTTTTAGAATGGATAAAATATATTTTTTTAAAAATATCATATTAAATTATTATTTAAATTTAAATATTAGATTTTAAACCCAACAGAAAAAAACCCCAAAAAAAATTTAAATATTCAAGGCACCTTAAATAGTACTAATATTTTTTTTATAGAAATAGTGAAAGGGTTTGTTCGCATAACCTTTTTAAGTGATATAATTTCGATAAATATTACAAAAAAAATATATACATTAACACAATATACTATATAATTTATTTAATTATAAAAAATAAATAATTAAATATAAAAATATTACTGGCATAATTATTTATAGGAAACATAAAAAATCATCTTCATTCGAATATAGTAAAATAAATTAATTAAAGAGAGCCTTAATTACCGTAATGGCTTAGCAGTGCTCCAGAGGCTTCAATGTTGTCATTGCCAGTTATGGCTACAGCAGATATAAGGAATAAAACCAGCAGATTATTATTAATGACATTCATAATAATTAATAATAATAATAATAATAGATTTATTAATTATCTTCAGAAAACTAGTTAAGAAAACGAGAAGAGATAGTGTTGGTAATTAGGGTTGTTGCTGTGTAAGAAGATCCATCTGTTTTTTATACTACTTTATGTATGAACAATATGCTTTATTTTTTATTTTTTTATTTTGGCTTGTTTTGTGGGTTCTGACTAAATACTATACTCCATTATATAAATATTTGTTTGAATTCAAAAATTTCTAAGAAGATTGGATTTAAGTTATAATACAGACACGAATCCAGAACAAACTGACTTTGAAATTTTCAGACATTCTTCACCAATCTCGAATTTGTTTGCCTGTCAAAATTGCACCACCTCATTTTAATTACTTTTTATATATAACAATTCAAAGTTTTTATTATTATTTTTATTTATTCAATTTGAAAGTATTTATTATATATTTTTTAAAAAATAATCATATACTAATATCAAAATATTTTCAAAATTTATTTAAATTATAAATATATCATTACAATACAAATATTTTATATATAAAACTAAAGAAAAAAAATGTTAAAAGCTCTTTCGTACCTTCAAACAAATAAAATATTAGTATTATTTTTAATTTACTAAAAAACTCAAAAAATATTGAGTTTATTTTTTTTTCATTAAAAGTATCTTTAATATCAGGATTATTTATAAAATTTATAAAAAAAAATGCAATATATACGTTTACATACAATAACACAATACCTATAGAATATACATTGGCGATGTTGTAATGGAAATGAGTTCTGCATTGGATTTACTTAAATTCATGTGTCTACGGTAACACGCCCAAATTACCTAAGACGGGGGGAGGAATAAATTTTTTCAAATTAAAACACATACTACGAAATCAAACATTTTATTTTTCATTGGCGTTGTTTGTCTCTTTTCTACGGAGATATCCAAACATACAATATATAGATATATATATATATATAAATTGGGCCGAAATTTTACCCTCAAATCACACTTTGGGTGTGTTTACTTGTGAGATTTGTTTTTTCATTTTACTATTCAAAAATTTTTTTCCCCCAAAAACATCAAATCAAACACATATTTTTTATTTATTGTATTACACTAAAATTAAATTTTACATTCAAAATATCACATCAAATAACTATTTCAATTCAAAATTTTACTATTCAAAACCAAAACCTTTAATTTTTGTTATTATTTCTTTAGTTATTATATATAAAAATATTACTCATTCCGTCGTTCAAATATGTGCTTATTTAGTTTTAATAAAAATGAGTAATAATTGTTAATTTTTTCTTTTATAGTAAAAATATTACAAAAGTGGAATAATTTTTTACTTAAAGAGGAAGTGAGAATATTTTTAGATGATAACCAAAAAGAAAAATGATTATAAATTTGAGAATAAAATTTGAATATTAATTTTAATAAACTGCATCGGGCCGTACTTTTTAGACATATTTCTTATGGCCTAAATAGAATTTTCTCGTGTTGAATTAGAATCTGAAACGAAATTTCGAAATATACTGTGTTTGTTTGGGGGTTTAGATTTTGGATTGAGATTTGAATAGTAAAATTTTTTAATTTGAATAGTTGTATGATGTGATATAAATAGATATTGATTTGATATTTTGAATGTAAATTTGATTTTTAGTATTATATAAAAAATAAAAAATAGGTGTTTGATTTGATGTTTTTGGGAAAAAAAAATTGGATGAATAGATAATTCCATTACTGACTTGTTGGAGACAACAATGGATAATTTTAAGGTTTCCATATTTGGACAATTAATATTAATGGACAACACAATAAATTCACTGTCCCAATCCCATGCGTATCTATCTATGTATGTATTACGTTATATGTATGTCTCTCTACGTATCCTCTAACATAATTTCACCAAGGCCAACAACAGCAATCCACCCATCATCTCCCATTCTACAACACCCAGTTCGACCCGACCCAGACCCGAACCCAAACCCGATTATTCGGGGAAAGTTCCGGTGAATCGGATGTGGTCCAGGGTTGGACGGAGCCCGAATTTGTTCACCGCCGCCATCGCCGCCCTGTACCCGCCGCCGTACGCCGGAGAAGCGTCGTGGGCGATCTGATGCATGAAGAACTCCCCAAGCTTGTTCTCGGAGCTCGATTTCCCGCCTTTCTTCGACGACGACGATGACGAAGCTGCCGACGTCGACGTCGACGGCATGCTGTCTGGGACGGTGTACGACCATGTCGACGACAATGGCGGCGGCGTCGTCGTGTTTCGCGTTATCGGGATCACCTCCGATTCGAGCCACATGTGGGAGAGTACTTGGCAGATGCCTTCTTCAACGTCGGGTCTGAGATTACGATAATCTGCCGTAGAAAATTGTGTAAGAATTATTACGATAATCTGCCGTAGAAAATTGTGTAAGAATTCGGACGTATACGACTAATTTAAGACGATATGAACCGTACCATTGAGACGCAGCCATCCGTGCATCAACTCGTGCGCAAGGATCGCTCCTGTTAGTAACCTGCGAGTACGATCGATCGGAATTGATTCAGAAATTTAGAAATCGTGACTCGGGGAATCGATCGAAATTAGCGTTCGACAGTTACCTCGGGAGACCGTACAGTACTAGGATGGCTGTAACCTCGCACCTTCGGATAAGCTTCTGCGGTTGTGTCCTAATTCCGACAAGTCCGCGTCGATCCATCTTTTGTTTCTTCTGCACCTGCAAAATTAATCGACGCAAAACAAAAAAATCGTGTAAAGATCCGAAACCGAGACTTCCGAAACCATCGACGATCGAATCGAATTATCGATAACTTACGCTAGTGACTGTCTGCTCTTCAGAGAGGCATAGGCCTCTCGTCTCGGGCATGTGATGAAAGCCCTGCAAGAATCGAGTCGTGTATTCAGACATCATTTGATCAAGGAGAACATCGAATGGGAGAAGACGAGACGAGACAAAAACTCACGTGTTTCTCCCCTTCGATCGCTTCGTTGAGGGCTTGTCTTTCGACGAGAAGCATTGGAATCTGCTGATCGATTCTCATATTCATTCCTTCGTAATAGTCCCGAATCGCGTGGTACAATGGCTGGCAGTCGCCGGTGTCGATGATCGCTGACTCCATGCACTCCAAGCATATGCTTCGCCCGTCTCCCAACGATATATACCGAGTATTCCTCGACTGAAAAAAAAATGTACAAAACAATCGACATTATTTAATCCGTTCCGATCGAAATCGAACGAAAGCCAACCAACACACGTACCTCCAAACGTTCACAGCTACAGCACCTCGCCGTATTGTCGTGCTCGTGCGAAGGGCAATACTTTTGGGACCAAAATGGGTGGCATCTGTACTCAATCAATCCCGCTCCGTTAGTCGGGATCTGAAATATGTATTAAAACGTTTGTCAAAATCGTCGATTGTAAACGGAGCATACATTCGACGCGGCTAAATCGACGCTACTTACGAATTGATGACAGACTTCGCATTTCGGGTGAGTGAGCTCCTTGAAACACGACTTGTGATAAGTGTCGCGTCCTGACAAAGAGAACTTGAATCAAAAAAGAAACCGATAAGAACTGATAGAATCACGAGCAAAAAATGAAAAGGAAATAAAGATCGATCGATCGAAAGGATATGTCGAAATGTACCTCGTGCTCGGTTATAGGAGAACTGCACGCACGGCAACGGAAACAGCTCGGATGGAAATACATCCCCATGCACCCGAGATAATTCCCGTATCCAATCTCGCGTTTGCATCCACCGCAGATTCTGCAAATTACGATTCAAAATTAGCTTGATGGTAACTATCTATTCGATTCAAGGCTTTTTCTCGAACTATCCCAATAAATTATACTTTCTCCGTATGCCTCTAAGAGTTACATTTATATTTTGCGTCATTATACTTAATAATAAATTATTTTTATATTTGTATAATTTTTTGTACAAATGTCATTATATTAGTATTATAAGATACTAATAGAAGTATTTTTGACTTTTTCCCTTGATTTGTACTAACTTTTGATATAATAATTAATATTCAAATATCAACACGCAATCTTTAGAGCCGGATGGAGATAGTATTACCTGTAGCTCTGCGGATAGTAATTGGAGGGGGGGGCGTATGGAGGGGGTAACGTTGAATTGGGGCCGTCGTGAAGCGTCCGCGCGGGATCGTCGTTATTCTGTGTTCGCCATCTGTACCCTGTGGAATCATTCCCGACTATCTATCGATCGAGGTAATTAAGGAAAATGGAATGCGACAGAGATCGCTTCGACAGAATCTTACCATTTGGTTTCTTCAAATCTTCAGCCAGAGACAAGGCGATCGCACGATCTAATTCCTCTTTATCTTTCTTCGCTCGAGAGCGATCATCCTGTAGAAGTTTGACACATTTTCGCAGCAAGAATGGAATCACATTCAACAGAATGATAATCAATCGAAAAGTCGATTCTAAATATTTGTCTGAAACCAATGCAATAACTATCTCTATCTACATTCAATGAACAAACAACATTCTTTTCTGCATAAACATGTAATGGATGATCAAGAACAGCCACGAAAGCAGAATCGTAAACACGGATAGGATAAAAAAGCAATACCAAGGATCGAACGGGAGGATAAACAATGTTCTCGTCGCCAAACGAACGGGGTTGCTGCCCCCTCGTTCCAATTCCCCTGCTGCTCGTCCCGCTCTTGAAAAGCTTACTCAGCCATTTCATAAACCTCGATTTCCTCTCGGCGTGCGATGAAACAACATGCCCTGCCCATAATCGACGAAACTTTTAAACTATGTTTAGAAAGACATTTTCATAAAACTTTCGACACTATTCATCAAACAGTAAATTTTCAAAACTTCAAAACTTGTATCTAAACCGAGCCTTAATCACAACAACAAGAACAGTAATCATCACCAATCCATGGTCCAAAAAACAAAAATCTACACACAGCACATCAAATTCTTCAAGAACATAAACAATCATAAAACGAAGCAAAATAAGGTTTATGTGTGTAATCAAACTATAACTGATCATCTTCAACGGATCACTAGCTAACATCATCATATATATACAATTACAGTGCAAAGGTAAAACCTAATTTTGCTGTTACCATAAATACAAGGCTGAGAAAGATGGTTGATGTTCGAAGAAGACATAGTCCAGAGGTATGTAAAGAAGAGAGGTTTCCCAGCTTCAAAGGAGGGGGTCGAAAACTGCGAAAACGACTAGGAGAGAAGAAGGAGAAGAGAATGCAGGAAAGAATAACAAACGGCATCGTTGATAAAGCTAAGTTTTCAGAGAAACCCTAAAAAATTAAAATTGGGGAATCTGTGAAGGGGGAAAAAAGAGATTCTTAGCTTGGGGAAAGAAGAGAGGGAAAGCGATGGGTACAAGAATCTGCTGAGGAGGATGGCCGATTGCGATTGAGAGGAGCAAAAAGGAAATCGGGAATCGATGGAAAGGGAAAAGCTGAAGGATGCAGTGTCGACGGACGGTTGAGAATTTTTTGAGTGACCAACAATGTTCTTCTTCAATGCGACGAGAAAACCTTCTTTCTAGCTTCGATTGGCTTCGATTATGCAGAAAACATTACACGCGTTGAGAATTAGGGTTTATTTGGGAGGGAAGAAGGAGACAGGAGGTGCTGCAGACGCCATGGAAATGCTGGTTTTAGAGCTTTTACAGTGAAGCTCTTCTGCTTTGACGAAGATTCGCTAAAAATTAAATAAATAAATTAAATAAAAACACTCATCTTTGTGCTGTAAAAATAAATAAATAAATAAAATCGAATTTGGGACGAATTATTTATTTATTTATTAAAGAATTTGATGCCAAAGCTGAAATAGAATAGAGGGGCAACAGGGTTAACGTGATCGGAATCGTATGCAGATTGAGATTTGAGATTGCTCGAATATATTATTGGCATATAATAATAATTATAATAATAAATAAATAAATAATAGCAATGGGTTATTTTGCCTTTGACACTATCAAAAAGCGTGGCCGCGACTTTTATATTTCTCATAATTCTTTTAAAGTTGTCGTCACAAAATTATTCCCTTAATAATTTTATTAAAATCACTTTTTTGGCTTTACAGTTATATTAGTCAAGAGGTAATATGTACATATATTATTACATAGTTTATTCCGATGGTAAATCTTGCTGTTTTATTGGTATTTAATTTTTTTTCATATATTTTTGAATTAATTGTTACAATACTAATGTTTATTAAAGAAAATAATATGATTTCTATCATAAAAAAAAAAATTAGTTTTTTTATATAAATTTAATATAATGTTTACTTTTTATTATTTTTTACTACTCCCTCCGTCCACAAACTAATGTCTTACTTTCCTATTGGGACGTCCAATAACTATTGTCTTTTTTTTTTTTAACACAAATTTTATATTTTTACCCTTCGTTCATTTATTACTTTTAATTTCAACTATAGAATTATGGGCAAATTTGTCAATTCATAACAAAAAGACAATCATCTAAAAAAACGGTGCAAATATTCGTTGGGACAATAAAAATTAGACTGAAGGAGTATTATTTATAATAAAATATAAAACAAATAGAGTTTTTTACTAAAATAAAATAAGAATATTTTTAAATAGCAAAAAAATTACTATTCTCATCTCACAAAAAAGTCAATTTTTTATATTTCTATTTGTTTTACATAATTTGTCACTTTTTTCCAAAAGAAAATATAATTATACACTTTAATTATATTAAATATAATAATTTATAATTTTTTAATTTTAATTAAATTATTTACTTATCTTAGTCTTGATATATAAATATTTTAATTATATAAGAATTAATTTTATTAAATTAAAAAATAAGTATATTTATTATAGATAATTTTGTTAGCACAATTGTGTAATATTGAAAATCCTTCATTTCTTGAAGGAAATTCGGCCCTCTTATTCCAATAGCCCAACCCATTATTTCATTCAATCAATTCTCAGTTGAATAATAAATGAGAATAAATGTAGGACAATAAAGAAAGTGGTGGTTTATTTGTTCTTACAAGTGGGACAATGTCCATTTCTATTTATTTATTTATTTATTTTTTTCTTTTTCACCCACCGACAAATTTCAAATAATAAAATGAATAAATTCATCACAAAAAAATAAGATGTTACTTATACACACGCAGAAGTGTGTTTCTTCTTTTTTTTTTTTCTTTTTTTTTTTTTTATATATATAGTCATATTTTTCACAAAAGAAAAGTAAAAATAAAAAAATCATCAAATATATATATATATTTAATAAAAATATTAAATTGTATGCTTATATGATATTTTCATGAAAAAGTGTATCTCATGTAGTAGTTTTTGGATAATTTTTTAATCAATTACACGAAAAAATTTTGTGTCCCCTCCGAAACAATATTTATACAATTCTCAGATAATGTTATAAAAAATTGATATATACAAATATATTCACACAATATATGTATAAATATATTATATTGTATTTAAAAAAATTAAATTTTATATCATTAACACAAATTTTCATAAATTAATCTAAAATACTAAATAAAAATAATCATTTATTTAAAATGTAATTATATATAAGTTTGTTTGATTTTCCTTAAAAAAAGAAATATTTATCATTTCACTTACATAAAGTGTGATAACTTATCACTTTGTGTGTTTAAATGTACGTAATTTTCATATTATGTATGAAAAACGGTCGCAATAATATAAAAATACTATTTCATGTCAAATTATTGACTTTGGTGTATAAATAAAGTTATATATTCCATTTGTCTCAATACAATAGTTTTATTTATCATTTTTGTCCGTCCTAAAACAACAATTTTATTTTCATAAATAATCATATCACCATAAAATTACTTATACTTTGTCATTTTTATTTCACAATTGTCACTACTTTTTACACTAATACACTTACAAAGACAAAAAAATTTTTTATCCATATATTTATCAACTACTAATATAATATCAATATTTTTTAAATTTTGTGTCCAACTTCTCTCACCTTATATGTATTGGGCTCTCATTAATAATAAAAAAATTAATTGAGCATGATTGAATTGGACCTAAGTCTCCTCACATTTATAGTTAAAATTGGGCCTTGGCCCGAGTATAGTTAAATCTAATTAATTCAATTTTGCATTTTATAACAAACTTTTATCTATAAAATGGATCTCATCTCGTACCATTTGTTTGCATCATACTTTCTCAGTCCCATTTGAATTGAAGTTAAATTTTTTAATTAGTTAATAATAATTAATAATTAGTTATCATATTATGATATTACTTTTTGTATAATTAATAATATTTATAGTTTTAAAATAAATTTAATATATAAAATTTAAAAATTAAAATACATATTTAAATATTTAATAATTATATATCAATTAAAAAATATATACAATATAAATATTAGATATTATACAAGTAAATAAAAAAATATTTTTGTTTATTTATAATTAACATAAATCAATTTTATAAAAGATATATAATTTTAAATATAAATAAAAATAATTATTTTTTTTGAGGAGAGAGGTAAAAATAAAGGAGTTTTAGGTGGTCACGTAGTTAATTAAGTTGATTTATATTTGTTAAATATGATTTTATTTAATAAATTTTACCAAAAATAGAAAAATATAAAAAAAAAAAAATGAAAATAGTATTAATTTTGGTTGGATGGAAGGAGTATTAAAGATCATTTTTTATTTTTTTTCCTTTTCAAATTTGACTATTTCTACAACCTTTAAATAGTTATATAGAAAAAACGAATGCCTTTAATTTTTTTTTTAGAAAAGTAAATATAAGTTTTCATGTTAAAGTTTAGTGTTTGTTTGAAAATTTGAATTTGAAATTTGAAATTTAAATAATTATACAATGTTATATAAATAAATATGATTTAGTATTTTAAATGTGAAAATTATTTTTAATATAATATAAAAATAAAATTTTTAGTGAATAGAAAAACTCACTCAAACAAACACATTTTTATACATTTTACACTATAAAAGAAAAATCTTCTTGAATCAGGAGTCCTTGCCAATTTCTCCCTCAAAAAAATTAGAGAATTTAAAGGCGCCTTCTTTTTTGAAATTAATTTTGAGAAAACTTCACTCTCACACTAGCGACGCCCTTCTTTCTCTCTCCAAAACCCATTTTGTACTTTTTTTTTTTTTTTTTTGAAACACATCCGATCGGGAATTTTGCGTCGTCGAAGAACATGAATTCGTTGGAATCGGTGAAGTTATTGTTGGCGGCTACCGGCGGCGACGCCGTGAAACTGTTCGACATTTCGGGGGAGCCTCAAAACCCTTGCGTTCTCACTCACTCTCCGTCTCCGGGGAGTCGGGTGAATTCGGTCAAGTGGAATCACAACAGTTTAGTGTTAATTTCACCTTCATTTCTGGCTTTATTCATTGGGCTGTTTGCTAGTGTTCTCATTATATTTATATATGTATTTTTGAGATGTGATAATTGTTGTTCATCCATCAGATTTGGTGTTGGCAAGTGCCGGCGACGACGGTGAAATATCGCTGTGGAGGAAAAACGGGCAAAGTTTGTGGACAGTTCCTGCCAAGACAGCTAGGGCCGAAACTAGCGAGGTACATAATTGTAAGGGCATTTCCGGTCTGCATTTTGATATTCTGTTACTTGTTTATTGCATCGATTTAAGTTTTATTAATTGTGAGAATGAACTGGTGTCTATTTCCTCATTTGATGTTTTGTCTGTGAATGGGAGTTAATGTGTTCAATGTGGAAGGAATGGGTATGATTACTCCAATTGGGCTTCAATGCAAAATTTGATCATTCCAAAATTGTTAAAATTGATGAAGAATTGAATACCTTTGGAAGCAAATATAAATGTTAACTCCGGAGACATGGTTTTAGACTTGGCCGTGGAAAAATAGGTTTGAAAATAAATTTGATGATTAAATGTTGTGCTTATGGTTGAAGATGTAAAGAAGCCGACACGAATTCAAGTGAAGTTATTATTGAGTGGAATTTGTGTTTCCAAGTTTTTATGTGATTAGCTAGTTCTCAGGAACCTAGATCGTGTCTCTCGCCCAACTTTATTTCGTGTTTAATGATTTTAGAACATCTGCTTGATTTTCTGTTTGTTGAAACATATAAGCCTTCAGAGTCAATATCGACAATCAGCTTTAGCAACAAGGGGTCTCGATATCTGTGCTCTGGCGGAAGTGGTCAGATTGTGAAGATATGGGATTTACAGAACAAGCGTTGTGTAAAATGGTTGAAAGGTCACACTGATACTATAACAGGTGTAATGTACAATTGCAAAGATGAGCACATAGCTTCTGTTAGTCGTAAGGGAGATATCATACTTCATAATCTTGCTTCTGGGACTAGGGCTGCTGAACTCCGGGATCCAAATGGACAGGTTGCTTATATTGTTTTCAGCTTCAAAGATCTATGATATGATTGTTATGATGTTTATGGTTTTTCTTTGACTATAAATTTACATGGACAGGTTTTAGGGGCACTTGATTATTCTCGGATGAGTAGGCACCTGTTGGTTACAGCTGGGGATGATGGGTCTATTCACCTGTGGGATACAACTGTTCGCAGCCCGAAGGTTGGCATTTATAACATAAATTACCCTGTATACCATGTTCTATGATGTATGATAGAGTTCTATATTGACCTTTATTTGAATTTTGAACTGCTCAAAGTGTGGTAATTTGTTGTTTCTTGTTCGGTAAATATGAAAGTTCATTAAATTTTTTACCTTGCTTGTTGGCACCGGAAAGATATCCAACATTTGTTGAACACACTTAAGATAAATAATGATATTTCCCTAGTCCTCAAAATTTTAACCTGTTCATTCCTATTACGATTGAGTTTTAAGCTTCATGGATTACAATCCGTGTAAAGTAAAAAGCTTTAGTTATAGTAAGAGTAGGGTGCAAAGGATACAAAATAACTTAATTGTAGAAACATAATGCACAATACATTTTGACACTTTCTCTTAGGATACCCAGCTCGATGCATAATTCTGTAATCTTCGTGCGCCGAAGCCCAAGTACTTAGTAAATATGTCATTGAGTGGTCATCCTACCAATGTCAGGGTGTTTTGTCACATGTGGGAGTGGAAAAATAAAATGGTGACACAAGGGCAAACAATCTTATTAGAGCTGCAAAGGCACTTGTGATTTACTTTGGAAGTGATTTCAAACGTGTGAGTATACAGCAAGGTGCAAAATATGGGCTGAAGTCCTGAGGTGGTGTTGATTGTTTTCGATTTAGTAAATTTCTCTCTACATATAGCCGTTGACTTTAATGGCCCAAATTAGGTACGACTGGCATATGCATATACGTAATGACAAACCAGATCCAAGACCCATTGAGTGCATAATTTTGCGCTACTTTATGATTCAAAAGGCTATTGACTATTGCAATATACTGACAGAACCATGCTATATTTCTTAAAAGGATAAATTAGATAATCTACACAATATTGGCTATAAGTTGGAGACCTGAGTTCCTTTGATATTCAAGGCGGTGCAACATGTGGTGGTGTACCACTGCTGGTTTCTCGTATGAGTTATTGTTCATTGGGAGTTGTTTTAGAATCTAAGGAGAGAACATGAGCAAAGGATTAAAATTTCTGGTTTCTAGTATTCTCCTATGAGATTGTGAAATTTTAAAAACCTTTGTTTATATGAGCAATAAAACTTCCTGTTTTTTTTTTTCCTGTTTGGATCTTGTTTACTAATTGCTGACATGGGGTTTATCTCTTTGTTTCTGATTTTATTTTCAACGGAGGTTTAGCATTTCATTTTATTTCCTCTTTTGACACTGGAATATTCTATAAACAAGTCACTCTATTATTAGTTTTAACAGGAAACTAGATACTTGTATTGCTAACAGATGGGCTTTAAGGCAGATAGATCGTTTCCTTTTAAGTAAATCAAGCACATATATCGTTTGGGATAAGGGGACTCACTGTTTGCATCCCCAATCTAAATACACAAGTATAATAGGCTGCCTGTGTTTTTTATGACAACTTGCTTTTGCAATTTACTATAAGAGTGCCCTTATCGATTATGAGAATGAGAGGTAATATGAAGGGTTACAATGGTACTAGATCAGTCATTGTTCATCTTAGTTTTGTTCACTCTTATTTTTTCCAATTTAATAACTTTGATTTTTGCAGTTACCCTTGTGACCTCACGTTGCACCTTTGTTTGTTACCAGGATTAGATCGGAAGAACTGCATTTGATTTCAAATTTCGTTTCAACGATATTAATCTATATGCCTTTGCTGCATATCTTATATAAAATCCATAATCCTTGTGGCTTACTGCAGGTTTCATGGCTGAAGCAGCATTCTGCACCTACGTCTGGAGTGAGTTTTTCACCAACCAATGACAAGGTCTTCACTTGCATCTCTTTTTCTTCGTTCAACATTCATTTTTACTAGCACGTACCTGTTACTAATTTCTTGCTTAATTTGACTTTGTCTAACAGATGATTGCTAGTGTTGGTCTGGACATGAAGCTGTACACTTTTGACACAGGGTCAAAGAAGCCCTCTTCTTGCATACCTTATGAAGCTCCTTTCTCTTCATTGGCTTTTACCGATGATGGATTAACCTTGGCAGCTGGCACAAGCAATGGTCAGGTTGTATTCTATGATGTGCGTGGGAAGCCACAGCCAATCACCGTTCTTCGTGCATATGGGAAATCAGAGGTTATACTCTCTCTTTTGGTGCTTTTTGAATAATATACTATACAGGTGTTGCACAATGATTTCTTGGTGGCCAAATTGCTTGGATTTTGTTGTTAGTGTTAATTCCTGCTTCCAATAGTCGTTAAAATTTAAAAGACTTATGTAATTTGCCATGTTAGTATTTTGTAGTGGGGCAGATTGGTGTTTAATTCCACTGTGATGTAATAAATTATGTTATGTCAATTTCAATTCTTACGTTGTTTATAGGGTTCGATTCAAATCTTGATTTTACTCACAAACGTGATGATCTTTGTCAGGCTGTCACAAATCTATGCTGGCAAAGGTCAAAACCTGTAATGGTCAATGAAAACAGTTGCATGGATGAGAATGTTCTTCTGGCTGGTGATGTGGGGGACTCAATCCTTATGCCTGATCCGCTCCCATCTAGGTCATCATCATCAGGCCTTTCAATGCCAACGGCTGTTTCTGGGTCTCGAAATACTCTTCGTTCGTCTTATTCAGGAGATCTGTTTTCTTCTTCAGTAAGTAGTACTGCTTCCTTATCCAGTACCCTCAATTTCTCTACATCAGAGGAAACACCTCTTAGAAGTAGTTTGTTGACCGGTAGACCTCTAAGATTGCATGCATCATCTCGAACTTTCAAAGATGAAATGGAGGTCTTTTCTCCTCTTGTGGAAGTCCAACCCATGACAGCCTCAATCGATAAATTTTGGGAAAAGGATGATGGTTCGAAGAAGGAACTGGATAGGAAACCTTCATTTCTGCTTAATTCTCGAAGATTTGGCTTTTCTGATAAAGGGGCCAATGATAGCCTTCCAATTTCTGACTGGAAATCCGGCTCAGCTGCGAAACAGGTACTTGTTATTCAAATGCGTTTCTTTCTTGATTTATGCATTACAGTACGAACAATCAACCTTCTGCTCATGATATTAGGGTTGGTTTTAGGGTGTGTTTGTGGGCGTTTGGGTTTTGAGTTGGGATTTGAATATTAAAGATTTTGAATTGGAATAGTTGTATGATGTGATATAAATAGATGTTATGTGATGTTTTGAATGTAAAATTTATTTTTAGTTGGGGGGAAAAATTTGGTAAATAGTAAATATTTGGGAGAATCCCATAAACAAACACACCCTTAGTGTTGTATACTTGCAATATCTTAATGGGAGATAGATCATGGGGATGAGGGATATCTTGGTTACTTTTGCCGATCGACAATTTGCTTCTTATTTCTTTTGGGTATTAAATGAAGGTCAAGTTGCATTTATGCATTTTCGAAATTCTCCTGATGTCTGTTAGTGGCAATGGGTATGGTTGTTTGGTTGTATTTTGATTTGGTGTTAGCATCGGGGAAGTGATTCATAAATGGTACTATGGTCTAACAAACAATCGAGTTGTAAGATACCAAAAACTGTATTTCGGTTCAATTTTTATCCGTTAATCATCGAATTACTTGTTGATGCCCTTGCAGGATGACACGCACTCTACTTTGTCGCCGCTGACATCCAACCTCGCGCCATCTGCACGAACCGACGACCCTTCTTCCATCACTCCGCCGGAATCTTGGGGGGGCGAGAGATTTTCCGATAAATACATGCCGCCACATCAGTCCATCAACATGCCTTCCCGCTTTGCCAAATTCGCATCCAGTACGTCGTCAGGATTAATGTCGTCCGGATTACAAGAAAGCCTCACTGCAAACCAGACCACCACTGGCTTGTCGTCGGGCTCGAGTCTCATCGCAATCAGCAAAGAAACCTCCAGCCAAGATACTTCATTAGCATCTTCGGACGCTGTTTTGACTCCTTTAGGTATAAAAAGCAATCTCGATACCCTCGGTGCAGCTCTTCCTAGAAGATTTTACAGTTACGCAGAGAGAATAGGCACCACGCAAGCCTTGAGCGACATAACATCCCTCGCAATCGGTTCCTCGCCAAAATCGAAGAAAACCGGAGCCGAAACCAGGGAAGAACTTCTTAGTAGCTTGCTGTCTAGGTCTGAGAATCAATCCGTCGCAGGAATCAGCGCTGCTGCCACTAATAATGTAAGAATTGAGCGTAATTGTTTGATCCTTACATTCCATGATTTGTCGAATTTTTCTTATACTCGGGATGCAGGGAAGAGCTGCACAGTTGGAGAAAACTTCGTCGCAGTCTGACCCGCAGCAGGGATCTTCTTTTACTCTTCAGCTCTTTCAGCGATCGCTCGAAGAAACTCTCGGGTCCTTCCAGAAATCCATCCACGAAGATATGCGCAATCTCCACATCGAAATACTTAGGCAATTCCATCTGCAGGAGGTAACAAACAAACAAGCGATCGAGCCCTTTTAATCGACATTTGTTTTAATTTAGTTTCGGGTTCATGTGCAGATGGAGACGTCGAGTGTCATGAAACAGATCTTGGAAAATCAGGCGGAGATTATGAAGGAGCTCCGATCTCTTCGAAAGGAAACTCAGCAGATCCGACAGCTACTGTGAGTATAAGTTGCCGTCGTCGTGGATGTTACTTATTTTTGTTTCAACTGTTTGTACATTTTGATCTGTTTGATGACAGCATTATTATTGTAGTTATTGTCCATGGAATTTTTCCATGGTTGACACAGAAATTTGCACCAAAGAGTTTCACTTTGTGATGTGATGATTCTTTTCTATGAGCTTTTTAATCTTTGATATGGTGCTACTACTTCTACTGTTTTGGTTTTCTTATTTTTTAATATTTTATTTTTTCTCAAATATTTTGATGATCATTGCCTCTATGTCTATGTATAAATCGAGAAATATATTATTGTGATTGTACTTTATTTTAATATATTTTTTATTCGTTTATAATTTATATGATAAGAAATTTACCTCAAACGGACAGTTGAGTCTGGGTGGTGTAGTTGGTTATCACGCTAGTCTCACACACTAGAGGTCCCCGGTTCGAACCCGGGCTCAGACAATATTTTTTTAATATTTTCAGAAATATAGGGGGTATTTTTAAGAAAATGGTTAAATTAGGGGGTAATCTGTAATTTCAATAATTATATATAAATCGTGATTAAGTATGAAGTGTTTGTCTTCCCGACGAAGGTACGCATTTTGTAATTGCGATCCAGTATTTCTTCCAAATTGGAGAACTGACCCAAATGAGAATTTGCGGTAACAGCTCTAGTCTGCTAAATTGATTGAATCCATGGAGGAATCGTACGGCACTCTCCCCGCGAGTAGTTTCGTTGGCTCTGTACCGGTAATTCCGCGCTGTGTATGAATCTACACATGCGAATGATTTTTGTGGTTTTGATTCGTACTTTTTTTCCTTTTCTGTATTTTTTGTGTGCGGATTTAATTGGTGCCTGAGTGGTTTTGGGTTGGGGTTTTTGTTGAATCGCATTGATGTGATGTAGTTGAGGAACGGAGATTTCTGTGCAGTCCAGTATGTGACTTGAAACCGCCGCAAAAATTTGGGGATTTTGAAGCTTTCATTAGAGTAGACTTTACTTTTCCATCACGAGTCTCTTTTGAAGTGAGGAATTCCTTGTTATTACTTTGTTCTTGAATCTCTATTTTTTCATCTTTCGATGAAGAATTTACTGGAGAAAGAATCTATTGAAGATGAACGGAGTCTGATGCCATTAACCTGATGATTTATCCGAGGATTTACATAATTGCTTAAGATAGTCATGAATTTTAGGAACCTAATGACTGTATAACGATAGGAATTGTTGCAATCAATATACACAATGGTTGGATTTGGTGTCTATGATTTTATCACAGTTCAATGTCAGCTTCGAGTAGAACTTAAGAACTAAGAAATGCATTTTCTCCTTCAATTTACTATGATTAATTTTGTCTCCGGAATTAGAACATTCACTTTTAAAGCTTGATCTTCCCCTGCAACTTTGGAATTCTATGCTTCAATATCATGAATTCTCTGTATGGTTTGAAATTATGAACATAGTTAAGAGTTTTAACTAATTATGTGAATTTGTTCGTTGTATGTCGTGAATCTTTTTCTTTTTTTTTTTTGATCGGAAAGATATGTCGTGAATATTTGCTTCTACAGGCTGTTGTTAACGACGAGAAGACAGCAACTAGCCAAGGAGGTACAAGATCGTCTGAAATGTTTCTTTGTTAACAGTCTTCGATTGCTATGTTTTGAACAAATGCATTCTTCAATGTGGCCATGTAATTGCATGTAGCTTCCAGTGCAAATTTGCAAATATTTCCTCCAAATAACGCCGGAAATGGTGGCCCGGGGTACCAACCGATCGGCAACACTGCTGGTATGTAACATTATATGCTTTGTACTTTCAAACTACATTTAAATATGGAGTAATACAATGTTAGGTTCGATGTTAGCATTTCAAAACTCAATCAGGCACAAACCGATTAGATGTCGAACATATGAGCCCATTAACATTTTTTATAGCTGAAATGCTGGCATGAAACCTGTGATAAAAATAATAGAACTATTATAGAATTAGGTGAGGCCATATTCTTACGAAGATCAAGAAACACGAGGCTAATCATCTCGCTTATAAGATTTTCTATTTTCACTTGAATTTCCCTGTTTCTAAACGGCTAAATTAACGATCATTCTTAGAGAAATATGCCAAGGAATCACAGAATAACCATTACTTGTTAATAATATGCTCCAAAATTACCAGGAGAACAGAAAGTTCATGTAATTCTGAAACATTAATGTAAGAAAGATGAGACTTCTTAATGATAAAATAATATATCTGTCACGGGTCATTATTCATGGACAGTTTGTGTATTGTTCCCGTTTCTTTCTTAATTATTGAATTCATAGTTCTCAGCCTATTGGCTGTGAAATTTTTGGGTAGCAGCAGGGATATGGTTGATCGTTGTCAAACAATAGTCGTCTTAAAGAAAAATCACTTTACTGTAGATTGGCGGGAATATGCTTTATGTTGGGCACTCATCTGTAGCTTATCGTAATTCCCATCTAAATGTTTTTCCACTATGTTCATACGTGTTGTTTATTTTGCGAATGAAAGCACTAAATAGTTTCACATTAGAAGGTAATCAACCACTACCCTAAAGTATACCGGTAAATGTTATATCCATTGTCTGCAGATGAAGGAGGACAACCCACAAACAACTGGTCGGGATTGTTCAGCATCTCCTCGTACACACAATATTTTAATGTAGATACAGATATCGTGTTAAACAGATTGATAAGTTCCTTGAATTCTATGAGTGGAGATTTTATCAGCAAGATCGATGCGAACCCAGACCTGTAAGTTGTTTAGCGATGGCATACTTTACTTTAATCCGATCAAGTATATTACTTAGCACTTGTTCGAGGCCTTCGCATGGAAATTTATGTTTTCGATTTGTTCAAGACGTAATTATATTTATGTTTTTATTTATTTTCCCGTCTTTCAGGTACGGCCTCGTATGGATTTCCACGACACTGGTTTTTGTTCTTGCCTCCCTTGGAAACATCGCTACCTACTTGATGAACAAACGAACCGACCACACTACATCATGGACTTTCGATGTCAGCTACGTGAACGTTGCAGCAGCCTCCATTTACGGCTATTCGTTGATAGTTCCGCTGGGATATTACTTCTTGTTTCAGTATTTGGGTTCGGGCGCCAGCCTGATACGATTCTGGTGCTTGTGGGGATATTCCCTCTTCGTTTTCATCCTGGCTTCTGTAAGTATTTAATCTTCCTTGACGACTGTATATTTTCTCGACTTTTTATACATTGTGACTAGAACTGTTAATGAGCCGATCCGAATTTTAAGTGTTTGTGTTCGTTCATTAACGGTCGCAAACAAGGCTCGTGTTCGTCCGTTAAACTTTCGAGCTTGGCTCGTTAAGGATTTTTATTGTTTGAGCTCGTGTTTGTGTTCAACTCGTCTAGGCTTGATTAAGTTCGTTCGAGTTTGTTTGAGCTTGTTTGTCTCATTTTTTTAAAATTTATATATATATATATATATTTTTTAAAAAAATATTTATTTATTTTAAATTGATATTTTTATTTATTTATAAATTATAATTTTATACGTATATATAATATTTATAATAAATATATTATTTTAACGAAAGTTCGCAAATGGTCGCAAACAAACATCGGGTTCGTTCGTTAACCAAACGAGTCTGTCTATGTTGTTCGGCTAGGCTCGTTAATGTTTGCGAACGAGCTTTAATCGAGCCGAGTTTATGAATCGAGCCGAATTTACGGATGGCTCGGTTCGTTTAACAGCTCTAATTGTGAGAGTGTGTTGGATGGTTTTGATTGTCCAGTTTCTGTTGGTCATTCCGTTGGAGTTTCTACGGTGGATTGTCATAGTAATTGCCGGGGCTGCCTCGGCTACATTCGTTGGCGTGAACCTGAGATCGTACGTACAAACCAACGATATCATGATTGTGGCTGTTTCGGCGTTTGTTCTCCAAATGGGGTTGGCGATCTTCGTCAAGATGTGGTTCTTTGCGTAGCTCAATCTTCCGGGTATGCCGCTATCGATCCCTTAGTTACCTCACCTCTCTCTGAGTTTGTTTGTTGTGCAGAGAAATTGAAATTGAAATTGAAATTGTGTCTAGAGATGTTAAGGTGTTGTGATCTTTGTGTGTTGCTCGAAATGTTTGATGATGATGATGTTGTTGTTGTATTGAAGAATTAGTTTAGTTTCTCTTTCATTTTGTTGATGTTCGTGAATGAATGGTATGTGGTCGTCTCTATCTGCTTTAATTCTTCCAATCTTTTGGCTGCGTTCTTTTTAATTTTAGGAAATTTCTGGGTTTTTTTTTTTTTTTTTTTTACGTCATGAATGTTATTTAAATATTTAGTTTTGTTATTTTTTAAATATTTAGTGAGATAAAAAAAATTCCACGGATGTCTCATTTACTTTTTACATATACCGTTTACATGGATGTACTTACATCAAAAATATTTTTATATTTATATAATTTTTTATACAAATATAATTATATTATTATAATAATATTATAAAATACTAATATAAATATTCTTGTTAATTTATGTTGATTTATACTGTATTTTTATATAATAATTAATATTTAAATATCATTACTGTTGTGTGAGAGAATGGTTTATTTTTTATCACATAGGGTGAAAATAAAATAATAAAAAATATTCCCTGTGTTCCAATAAAATTTTCTTATTTTCTTTTTATTTTCGTATACTCTTTTACATTCTATTTTATACTTACTTTTAATTAAATTTTATTATTCATTAATTCTTCTGTCCATTCCCAATAAGATATTTTTTCTAGAACAAATGAAGAATTAAAATTACAAAAAAAAAAAATATGGTCTATTATTTATGTATTACGATATAAACAAAATTATAATCTCATATTTAAAATTAAAAAAATCAATTTATTGTTGTTGCCACAGAATTTCATGAGCAGGCCGATTCCAAAAAATTTCAATATCAATATCAATTAGCATTTCTGAGATTGGTTGGACTGGAATCAATCAGCAGCATCGGAGGCCACAATGACACAAGGAAGCAGACTCAGTGCATCAACCAACAGGTGGGCATGCCACTGGTCTGGTCTACAAATTTCAGGGCTCTCTGACACTGACACTGACACTAGCCTCTGCTAATCTCCAATGCTATTGCTATCAACTCTCCTTATTAATCTTCTTCCCATAGGATACAATTCCTACTATATATATATATTTTAAATTTTACCACTATCTGAATATTCCTGCGATCGACCTCGGGTAATTAGTTTAACTATGTATCTATAAAATATTAATTTTTTAAATTTGTATAAAAAATATAATAAGAAATTTAAAAATATTTTTAAAAGACCAAAATATCCTACTTTATCTAATTTTATAAAAAAGTTCAAATAATTTTATAAAAAAAGAGAGAAGTAGTTACCAAAAATAAAAATATACCTATTATTTAAGGACGGAGGAAGTATAAAATTTTTCATATATATACACCATCTTCGTCATAATTCAAAGTATTTTTTACTATTTTTGTCCGATTCATTTCAAAATATCATTTCTTGTTTTTTTAAAAAATAATCATACGCTAATACCAATATACCCTTCAATTTTTACTTAAATTACTAGCATATCATTACATATAAAATTACTTTATACACAACAAAAAAGTGAAAAGACAAATATAGTACCATATTATATTCTCTTACAATAAGTAGACAATCAACAGTAAGATATTAATGTTTATATTACCAATATTATTTATCATACTAGATATAAAAAAATACAAATAAATAAATATTTATAAAAAATAGTGTCACAAAAAATAAATTAGTGGACAAACTCTGCTAACTATTGTCATCTATCTCACTTAGTCTACAAATTCAAATCATTTAAGAAAGAAAAAACATGCTGAAATTTGAAGATCAGATCAAATGTATATTATAACCAACACTGCTAAAAAATACTTGAAAATCATCCGTCTTTCTATGTGTTCTAACAAAAAATACTTCTAACACTACTTGAACTTATGATCATATTATGCAATTCGTAGATTAATAAAGAATGGGCAATAAGTACGCCGTCATGCTGTCCGAGCAATTCAGAAGTAAAAAACTTCAACAAAATGAAGAGATCATCTTGTAAACATAGATAATTACTCTGTCCTAATTGTGTCGATGGAAACGACACACTTGTTATTCACAGTAGCAAAAGTCTATTCTTATAGAGGTGATGAAACTAAAGCTATGGATCCAATACCTCACTTCACAATTATCATCATAACCATTAATTGTTCTATTACATATCTGAGTCGAACACCATTCGACGTAGCAAGACTCCTCCACCGAGTACACTTCACTAGATGAGATTTAGCGGGATCGCGCTATAAAAATATACATATACATATACACTAAGCAAACAAAATATTCTTCTTTTTTTTTTTTCCCAAATATCCTGCAATATTTCTAAAATAAATATACACTTTCTCTCGTCATATCACTTATTTTCAAATAATCCTATTTAATGCTACCTATCTAAATTCCAGTGTCAAAAATAAATGTTGCACCATATTTGGATGGAAGGAGTATTACATTGGCTATATATATAACAATAAAAGATGGTAAAATTAAATGGTGAAGCACAGGGAAAAATTAGGTCAATTAATCAAACGGTGAATAGTTCTATTACCGCTGTATCTCATACAGTGCTAGCTGTCTACATATCCAAACAAACTTGAACAAAAAACCCGGGCAGCCCCTTTCGCAACCCTCACTAAAAACCTAATATAGGTACATTACATGGGAATTCTACATCTGCCACACCTTAAAGTTAAAACTAACTACCCGAGTTTAGTCTATCGAAGTAAAATATTTAGACAGTGGTAAAAAATAAAATAGTAAGAATTGTAGCATGAGGTTCCGTGGGAAGAAAATAAATAAGAGAGTTGATAGCATTGGAGATTACCATAGCCAAGTATGCCGGCTGTCGACAGCCTTGACTGATGTGGGCACCAGTGGCATGCGATTGTATTGTGCTGCGAATCTGTTGATGCACTGTGTCCTTCTGTCATTGTGGCCTCCGAGGCTGCTGATTCCGGTCGAACCAATCTCAAAAATACTACCTACATCACAAGAGTAGAGAGTATATGAATGGTGTTGATATCTTGCCTTGTATATGAACACGGAAGACAATTTATCGAACGTTTAAGCTTATTGGAAATAAATGCAACTTTTTAGGAGGTTGTAAATAATATATATGTATTTCCGACATTGGTATTGTTCTTAACCATTATATGTATGGCTTTGCTAGTAGAGGCTGCACTTGAAACATCATAAACCAAGAATCATAATTCCAAAAGTAGCTGAATACTTAAGAAAAATCATTATCGACCGTTCAAGAATAAATTCAATAGCCCGATTTCAATAAATTATTGGATGAGTGTGTGTGCATTATATATAGTACCTTTCACCCAAATTGGAGGAACGCCGGTTGCATTTGCGACAAGGAAAGACATTGCGATGTCTTCACAGTTCCTGGAAAGTAAATGTGTTTGATAAGGAAGCAAAGAAGAAAAAAGATAATCGAGAATATTAAAACTATTTTGATCGAGAAGAACCTGTTCCTGGTGACATATTCTCGAATAGAAGATGGCATCTCATGAGTATATATTCTTAGATACTTCTTATGAAAGAAGGCGGCTTTAGAGAGAATCATACTGTATGTTCCTGTCCACCAAACCGACCACCATCCGCTGTAGATGTACTTGTTCAGTTCCCCTTTCTGAGAAGCAAAGCAAACAGATCATCAAACTGAAGAATTAATGTCGAAAACCTCATGCAAGACTATGGTGTTGTTCGAAAAAATCCTTGAAGCATCACTACAATCAACTTAACAGAACTATCACCCAACCAATTTATGGGATTTAGAAATGAGTGTTGTTTTCAAACTAAGACTAAAACATTTGATGGAGCCATTCAAAACATTGAGGTTCGTCTCGATAGTAACAAGAAACTTATCACTTGTAGCATTACCATTGGCTTCTAGCAGTAAACAATAAATAATAGAAGGAAATGCCTGAAGAATAAAACATTGAATTAAAAGGAAATGGCTAAAAGGATAGCATGCAACAAGGAAAAAAAAAATTAAAAAAAAAAAAAAAAAAAAACATAATTTGCCACAAACTAAGCATGCTTATGTGAAGATAACCTTGAAACTTTTGGTTGTCTTTGAATATTTATGTGAAGCAGAATGAGGCTGCATACCGATGGATCAACCTGATGGATACGAGGCACAAATCCCACCATTGTATCCGGCGCACTCTGCCAGACATTGAAGGCAAACTCTACCGTAGCACATGGGAATATAATGTCATCATCTATAGAGAAGACCACATCAGTCTTCAAATCCTTGATTTCTTTAAATCTGTTGTTCAAACTGTCTTCCTTGTTAATATCAAATTTCAACTCAATTTCTCGGCCATCTTTGGCATTTGATTTCAAAACCTGGTTTAAAAGGCTAACAAGAGATTCTTGAGGATGGTCAGGTTCACTCCAGACAATGTGTACAGAATCAAGTCCAGGACATGATGCATAATGGGATATAGATTGCTTCAGAAGATCATTTCGCTTCCAAGTATTAATCAATAAGGTGTACCCAGTCCTGCATAACAAAAAAAAGTTAAGTCTTAGCATACACTAACATGTACCATTTATCAAGTCATCACCTATCGAAGGATTCAGGCATAAAAATCTTGAATAAATGCTGCTAAAATCCATATGTTTAACAATCAAGGGAATCCTGCAGAAGATTCAAAATATACATATATGCCAGGCATATGAACATTAAGCTTATGCAAGTATCCCGAGCATCTAGCTCCATTTTATTGTAAATTAACACAGAATATGCATTCAAATGAAGTTTTATGCTCCTGATGAAAATTAATAACTTTATCCCTCAAGCAAGTGGCTATTTAAAGAAACTTAATAGATATAGCAAAGTTGATTCAAAAGGTATTATGCTAGATGCAAAATGAAAGGATCTTTTTAGTAACTATCAACCATTATAATTATAAACCTTTAGAAAATCAAAGACAAGATGTGAAAAACTACTAAAATTAAATGTCAGATTTCTATAATCAACCCAACCAGAAATCCAGGAGATTTCGTTGCCTTTCTTGGATTTTCCTGCTGTTAGTTAAATCTTCACCGCGAAATTCGCAACAGTAATCTTAGAGCAACGAGATTCTGATCAATTAACTCGGTAAGCTCCAACTAGATTGAATTCAGTATAAATTAGATCAATTAACTCGGTAAGCTCCAACTAGATTGAATTCAGCATAAATTAGAATTAACTTAGAATCTCGATCTCAGTTCCTAATTTTAACCGGAGTGTAATTAAGGAAATAATTTCACCGTAGCAACCAATTGTTTCCATTAATGCAGCTCACTAGGAAAGTTTAGCCAAAAGCAAAGCTCAAATCAGACAACAAAAAAAACGTGTGAAGATTCACCCAAACCATACCGTGGAAGATGAGATCGGGAAGACGACACCGTATACTGGCTCCACGACGCCGTCCTCCCCGAAAGCGCGATCACCGTGAACAGAGCACAGCAAGCCAGTAGCAACTTGATCTTCGCCGATCCGACGGATAGCACCGATGCTGGCCTTATCGACCGGCGACTGAACAGTCCTGACCTCATTGTTTGGACGAGACGGTCTGGGGAAGAAAAGTCGGGCGGTGCTGTGAATTTTTTGGGGGTTTTGTTTGTTTATTTTTATTTTGTATTAAATTTATTATAGTTGTATATTTTTACCATTTTTTTATTAATAAATTTTTTATTAAATATAGTATTATATACGTTCTAATGTCTCATTTATAATATCAAAATATAGTAACTATGACCTTTAAAGATTCACGACAAAGTATAATATTAATATTTAATAAGCATTGGTTTTTAAATTTTAATTACTCACATGGTTCCGTGACTCGTTAAAATATTGTTATACTTCTCAGTGCATTGTTTATTTATTTATTTTTTTTGGTAAATATTTTAATATTAATATTATAATATTGGTGATGCAATTTTTCAATAATAAAAAATAAAATTCGAAAATAAAAATTATCTTCGAGCTTGATAAAATAAATGTTTGATATTTAAGAATTCTTAAGCGGATATATAAGTAAAATAGAAAATTGAATTTTACAGACTGAAACAATAAAACGGTGATCCCAAAGCAATTAGTGATGCCATTTTGAATTTGATGTCGGGTAGAAAATGATTGAAGATTATTCGGCAGTTGTTGGTCCAAATTCTTAAATACTCGTTAGAGACAATGCTTGAAACAGTCGCCCAACTGATTACAAGAACCGCTCTCAACCGCCTATCAACTCCTCCTTTGTTGATGTGTCTTGACCCGTCTTGCCAATAGTTCCCACCAACAGAATAATGAAGCTGAAAAAAAAATAAAAAATATCAGAATTATGTCTAAGTTTGTTGAAAAATTTGAAGCTATAAAATACAATCTTTATGTGAAAATTATGGTTTGAATTTTTTTTTAATATTAAATTTTTATAATTATATAATTTTGAAAAATACTTTTAATATCACGATACAATATGCAACTTAGAGCTTTTTTTTTTATGGTAGAATATTTTTTTTATATTAATATGTTGTATGAGTTCATTAGTTGGTGTGCATATTTTGCATTTTTAATTTCTTGAAAATAAAAGATAATATAAATATATTTTATGGAGAAAAAGAAAAAAAATGTTGTCCGATTTAGTCTTATGAGAGAGGAAGAGAATGAGTGAAAATAAATAAATAAATATAACATAAATATATTTTAGGAAAAAAAGAAAAAATAAAATATTAACCGAATTAGTCTTACTAGAAAGAAAGAAAACGAAAAAAAAAATAATATAAATATATTTTATGAAAAAGAAAACAGAAAATATTCAATGAAAGAGGTACATAATCAGATAAAAAAGAGTTTTTTTTTTTTTAAATAATAATGCGATAATAAACTTAAATAGATAAAATCGTATATAATTTTGGCCGCTCTCCCAATTACAAGGATAGAAATCTTTTGGTAGTTTGTCAATTAAATGATTTACACTATCATATATGTTGCCAAAATATCACAATAATGAAGCTGTAAAAAAAAATAAAAAATATCACAATAATAAAGCTATAAAAAAAATAAAAAAGATCACAATTATGTCCAAGTTTGTTAAAAAATTTGAAGCTATAAAATACAGCCTTTATGTGAAAATTATGGTTTGATTTTTTTTTTTTTTTAATATTAAATTTTTATAATTATATAATTTTGAAAAATACTTAAAATTAAGACAAACCATACAACGGATAAATCAGATTTAAAAAATTACTAAACTTAACATAATTACCAAACTTTCCTTACAGGAAGAAAGAATGAAAGCCCTGACGTTATATAAAATTGATTCCGATGGGTTTTCTTCTTACTCTCCTCAATAATTTTATAATTCTAGGGCTCCGGCCGCTGAAGTCTCCGGCGTGCATTCCGGCGAGCGGCAAGCAGAAGCAGCCGATGGTCCGCTACTTAGGGCTGTAACTGACGGCGCTGGGCACCGGCGGCCTGATGTCGAGCGTCTCCGGCTTGAGTTCCGATCATTTCGACGAGACCGACGGGGGCGAGAGGAAGAAAATGGTGAAATTTTTTCAGTCGTTCTTCTTCTTTATCAACATCGGGCACTCGGCCGGGAATGGGCTACGGAATCTGCGCCTGCGCCATTGTCGTCGGCCGGACGGCGTTCCTTGTCGAAGCTCCCTTGAGAATTGACCTCCATTCTTACACTATTGGGTGTTCATCTTTATTTTCCTGAGAAAATTAGCTTCGAGCGGGAGAGAGAAGCCATCGATCTGGACGCCACTGCTGTTGCTCTTAAGAATGAAAGTACGTTCCTAATCGGCCCTATTTTTGTAACTTTTCATTCGAATTTTTATTTGCCTTCAATCTGTGGGATTTTACAATTTTCTTTTTCTTTTTCTTTTTTTTCTTTCGATTGCAGAAGAGATGGAGAGAAAAAGGGAAAAAACCTCTGTTCCGCTTTGCCCTGTCTTTTCTACTGTGCCCACCGGACCGAGTAAGTATATCTGATGCAATGGGCTTTCTGTTCTTTTCAATTATATTGGTCTGGTTTTACATTTTCTTGGTTGTTAGTTTGTTTAATAATGATATATGGTTTCTTTACATAACAGGAAACAAATCTTCGGGACAGTGGAAGTATTAAACAGAGAGCTCACTGGAAATACGAAGAATGTGCTTTGAAAGGATTAAATATGATGAATATGACCACTTGTTTTTCACCTATCAGAATTCTGGGGTAAAACTTGTGTGTTGTGCCATTCAAACAGCTTTGATGTAGATTCAGATGGTAAGAGCCTTCATTATTTCTATAAATTATGTACATCTGAAAGGGCTTGGAGCCCTTTTTGTCTTTATAGGCCATTTGATTATGTCCACCTTCTAATATCTTTGCAGATGATGCAAGGACTTGCATTTGGTCTTAACGAAGAAACTTGCCTCAACATTCAACACCAGTTGCAGCTGCTACTTCTCTTGAAGGTAACTTTCTACCGGTAACACCCTAAGAACGGGCAAACAATCTAATAACCATCATCCATCTATAAATTTTTGGTATGATCCTGGGAAGGTGTATGAAAATATAGAATGAAAATAAAACATCTTTATTTGGATGAGGAATGGGAACCATAAGTAATTGCTCAATCCTGCATGAGATGATTGTTGCCGCTTGTTTTTTATTTTAATGTAGTGCTGTGTTGTAATTGTCCTCCTTTGTTTTATGTTGGACCGGTTTTTTTACCAAATGACAAATCTTTGGTGTATTATACGAGTGATTGCCTTTGGCTTCTTTGTTCAAGTACGTAACACTTGTGTTTTATTTGCTGATTGGATTTTAATTTACCACCATCCGTAAGCTGGAATTTCTTCAATCCTCAAACGGGAGTATGTTCTGTAACATAATTTTCTATTTTCAAATATCTACGTACTTATATTTATTTGAAATCATTTCAGATGCATTCGGGAAGCACGGAGGATTGCACGAGGGAAACATAATGGATTTTATCGACCGCACCAAAATAATAGAGAAATTCTAAACTTTCATTTTTAATGTTTTTGTTTATTTGCATTGCATTTAATTTAAATCTTTCTTGCATTAAGCATTAGCATTAATTTTATGTCCCGGGACATGCATGCTTAGATTTTCATACAAAATTTCATACGAATTATTAATCACATACTAACTATCTTGTTTTTTTACTATGTGTAGGTAAGCGATCGTGGACATTCCGGGGCCGACGGGGATGCATGTGACCTACATTACGAACAAACGGAGGTAAACTTCTTTAATTTATTTTTCTACTTTCAAATGTGTACATACTTATATTTATTTAAAACCATTTCAGATGCATTCGGGAAGCACGGAGGATTGCGCGAGGAAAGCAGAAGGGATTTTCTCGACCGCACCAAACAAAAAAAAAGGAGAATTTCGAAACTTTAACTTTTACTGCTTTTGTTTATTTGCACTGCATTTATTTTAAATCTTTCTTGCATTTAGGATTAGAATTAATTTTACGTCCCGGGACATGCATGCTTAGATTTTCATACAAAATTTCATACAAATTATTAATCGCATACTAACTATCTTGTTTTTTTTTATTATATGTAGGTAAGCGATCGTGGACATTCCGGGGCCGACAGGGATGCATTTGACCCACATTACGAACAAACGGAGGTAACGTTCTTAAATTTATTTTTCTACTTTCAAATGTGTACATACTTATATTTATTTAAAATCATTTCAGATACATTCGGGAAACACGGAGGATTGTGCGAGGAAAGCAGAAGGGATTTTCTCGACCGCACCAAAAAAAAAAAGGAGAATTTCGAAACTTTTACTTTTACTGTTTTTGTTTATTTGCATTGCATTCATTTTAAATCTTTCTTGCATTTAGCATTAGCATTAATTTTACGCCCCGGGACATGCATCCTTAGATTTTCATACTAAATTTCGTACGAATTATTAATCGCATACTAACTATCTTGTTTTTTTTATTATGTGTAGGTAAGCGATCGTAGACATTCCGGGGCCGACGGGGATGCATTTGACCCACATTACGAACAAACGGAGGTAATGTTCTTAAATTTATTTTTCTACTTTCAAATGTGAACATACTTATATTTATTTAAAATCATTTCAGATGCATTCGGGAAACACGGAGGATTGCGCGAGGAAAGCAGAAGGGATTTTCTCGGTCGCACCAAAAAAAAAAAGGGAGAATTTTGAAACTTTAACTTTTACTGTTTTTGTTTATTTGCATTGCATTCATTTTAAATCTTTCTTGCATTTAGCATTAGCATTAATTTTACGTCCCGGGACATGCATGCTTAGATTTTCATATAAAATTTCATACGAATTATTAATCGCATACTAACTATCTTGTTTTTTTTATTATGTGTAGGTAAGCGATCGTGGACATTCCGGGACCGACGGGGATGCATTTGACCGACATTAGGAACAAACGGAGGTAACCTTGTAAAATTTATTTTTCTACTTTCAAATGTGTACATACTTATATTTATTTAAAATCATTTCAGATGCATTCGGGAAACACGGAGGATTGCACTATGGAATCAGAAGGGATTTTCTCGACCGCACTAAAAAAAAAAAAAGGGGAGAAATTCGAAACTTTAACTTTTACTGTTTTTTGTATTGCATTCATTTTAAATCTTTCTTGCATTTAGCATTAGAATTAATTTTATATTCCGGGACATGCATCCTTAGATTTTCATACAAAATTTCATATGAATTATTAATTGCATACTAAGTATCTTGTTTTTTTTATTATGTGTAGGTAAGCGATCGTGGACATTCCGGGGCCGCCGGGGATGCATTTGACCGACATTACGAACAAACGGAGGTAACTTTGTAAAATTTATTTTTCTACTTTCAAATGTGTACATACTTATAATTATTTAAAATCATTTTAGATGCATTCGGGAAGCACGGAGGATTGCGCGAGTAAAGCAGAAAGGATTTTCTCGGTCGCACCAAAAAAAAAAAGGGAGAATTTTGAAACGACTTTTACTGTTTTTGTTTATTTGCATTGCATTCATTTTAAATCTTTCTTGCATTTAGCATTAGCATTAATTTTACGTCCCGGGACATGCATGCTTAGATTTTCATACAAAATTTCGTACGAATTATTAATCGCATACTAACTATCTTGTTTTTTTTTATTATGTGTAGGTAAGCGATAGTGGACATTCCGGGGCCGACGGGGATATATTTGACCGACATTACGAACAAACCAAGGTAACCTTCTTAAATTTATTTTTCTACTTTCAAATGTGTACATACTTATAATTATTTAAAATCATTTTAGATGCATTCGAGAAGCACGGAGGATTGCGCGAGGAAAGCAGAAGGGGTTTTCTCGGTCGCACCAAAAAAAAGAAAAAGGGAGAATTTCGAAACTTTTACTTTTACTGTTTTTGTTTATTTGCATTGCATTCATTTTAAATCTTTCTTGCATTTAGCATTAGCATTAATTTTACGTCCCGGGACATGCATGCTTAGATTTTCATACAAAATTTCGTACGAATTATTAATCGCATACTAACTATCTTGTTTTTTTTATTATGTGTAGGTAAGCGATCGTGGACATTCCGGGGCCGACGGGGATGCATTTGACCGACATTACGAACAAACCAAGGTAACCTTCTTAAATTTATTTTTCTACTTTCAAATGTGTACATACTTATAATTATTTAAAATCATTTTAGATGCATTCGGGAAGCACGGAGGATTGCGCGAGGAAAGCAGAAGGGATTTTCTCGGTCGCACCAAAAAAAAGAAAAAGGGAGAATTTTGAAACTTTAACTTTTACTGTTTTTGTTTATTTGCATTGCATTCATTTTAAATCTTTCTTGCATTTAGCATTAGCATTAATTTTACGTCCCGGGACATGCATGCTTAGATTTTCATACAAAATTTCGTACGAATTATTAATCGCATACTAACTATCTTGTTTTTTTTTTATTATGTGTAGGTAAGCGATAGTGGACATTCCGGGGCCGACGGGGATATATTTGACCGACATTACGAACAAACCAAGGTAACCTTCTTAAATTTATTTTTCTACTTTCAAATGTGTACATACTTATAATTATTTAAAATCATTTTAGATGCATTCGGGAAGCACGGAGGATTGCGCGAGGAAAGCAGAAGGGATTTTCTCGGTCGCACCAAAAAAAAGAAAAAGGGAGAATTTCGAAACTTTTACTTTTACTGTTTTTGTTTATTTGCATTGCATTCATTTTAAATCTTTCTTGCATTTAGCATTAGCATTAATTTTACGTCCCGGGACATGCATGCTTAGATTTTCATACAAAATTTCGTACGAATTATTAATCGCATACTAACTATCTTGTTTTTTTTATTATGTGTAGGTAAGCGATAGTGGACATTCCGGGGCCGACGGGGATGCATTTGACCGACATTACGAACAAACCAAGGTAACCTTCTTAAATTTATTTTTCTACTTTCAAATGTGTACATACTTATAATTATTTAAAATCATTTTAGATGCATTCGGGAAGCACGGAGGATTGCGCGAGGAAAGCAGAAGGGATTTTCTCGGTCGCACCAAAAAAAAGAAAAAGGGAGAATTTCGAAACTTTAACTTTTACTGTTTTTGTTTATTTGCATTGCATTCATTTTAAATCTTTCTTGCATTTAGCATTAGCATTAATTTTACGTCCCGGGACATGCATGATTAGATTTTCATACAAAATTTCATACGAATTATTAATCGCATACTAACTAACTTGTTTTTTTTTATTATGTGTAGGTAAGCGATAGTGGACATTCCGGGGCCGACGGGGATGCATTTGACCGACATTACGAACAAACGGAGGTAACCTTGTAAAATTTATTTTTCTACTTTCAAATGTGTACATACTTATATTTATTTAAAATCATTGCAGATGCATTCGGGTAACACGGAGGATTGCACAAGGGAAGCAGAAGGGATTTTCTCGACCGCACTAAAAAAAAAAAGGGAGAATTTCGAAACTTTAACTTTTACTGTTTTTGTTTATTTGCATTGCATTCATTTTAAATCTTTCTTGCATTTAGCATTAGCATTAATTTTACGTCCCGGGACATGCGTGCTTAGATTTTCATACAAAATTTCATACGAATTATTAATCGCATACTAACTATCTTGTTTTTTTTTATTATATGTAGGTAAGCGATCGTGGACATTCCGGGACCGACGGGGATGCATTTGACCCACATTACGAACAAACGGAGGTAACGTTCTTAAATTTATTTTTCTACTTTCAAATGTGTACATACTTATATTTATTTAAAATCATTTCAGATGCATTCGGGAAACACGGAGGATTGCGCGAGGAAAGCAGAAGGGATTTTCTCGACCGCACAAAAAAAAAAAGGGAGAATTTCGAAACTTTTACTTTTACTGTTTTTGTTTATTTGCATTGCATTCATTTTAAATCTTTCTTGCATTTAGCATTAGAATTAATTTTACGTCCCGGGACATGCATGCTTAGATTTTCATACAAATTTCATACGAATTATTACGCATACTTAACTATCTTGTTTTTTTACTATGTGTAGGTAAGTGATCCTGGTCATTCCGGGGCCAACAGGGATGCATTTGACCGACATTACGAACAAACCAAGGTAACCTTCTTAAATTTATTTTTCTACTTTCAAATGTGTACATACTTATATTTATTTAAAATCATTTCAGATGCATTCGGGAAGCATGGAGGATTGCACGAGGGAATCAGAAGGGATTTTCTCGACCGCACTAAAAAAAAAAAAAGGGAGAAATTCGAAACTTTAACTTTTACTGTTTTTTGTATTGCATTCATTTTAAATCTTTCTTGCATTTAGCATTAGAATTAATTTTATGTTCCGGGACATGCATCCTTAGATTTTCATACAAAATTTCATATGAATTATTATTCGCATACTAACTATCTTGTTTTTTTATTATGTGTAGGTAAGCGATCGTGGACATTCCGGGGCCGACGGGGATGCATTTGACCGACATTACAAACATACGGAGGTAACCTTCTTAAATTTATTTTTCTACTTTCAAATGTGTACATACTTATAATTATTTAAAATCATTTTAGATGCATTCGGGAAGCACGGAGGATTGCGCGAGGAAAGCAGAAGGGATTTTCTCGGTCGCACCAAAAAAAAAAAGGGAGAATTTCGAAACTTTTACTTTTACTGTTTTTGTTTATTTGCATTGCATTCATTTTAAATTTTTCTTGCATTTAGCATTAGCATTAATTTTACGTCCCGGGACATGCATGCTTAGATTTTCATACAAAATTTCATACGAATTATTACGCATACTAACTATCTTGTTTTTTTACTATGTGTAGGTAAGTGATCCTGGTCATTCCGGGGCCGACGGGGATGCATTTTACCGACATTACAAACAAACCAAGGTAACCTTCTTAAATTTATTTTTCTACTTTCAAATGTGTGCATACTTATATTTATTTAAAATCATTTCAGATGCATTCGGGAAGCATGGAGGATTGCACGAGGGAATCAGAAGGGATTTTCTCGACCGCACTAAAAAAAAAAAGAAGAAATTCGAAACTTTAACTTTTACTGTTTTTGTTTATTTGCATTGCATTGCATTCATTTTAAATCTTTCTTGCATTTAGCATTAGCATTAATTTTCCGTCCCGGGACATGCATGCTTAGATTTTCATACAAAATTTCGTACGAATTATTAATCGCATACTAACTATCTTGTTTTTTTTATTATGTGTAGGTAAGCGATCGTGGACATTCCGGGGCCGACGGGGATGCATTTGACCGACATTACGAACAAACGGAGGTAACCTTCTTAAATTTATTTTTCTACTTTCAAATGTGTACATACTTATATTTATTTAAAATCATTTCAGATGCATTCGGGAAGCATGGAGGATTGCACGAGGGAATCAGAAGGGATTTTCTCGACCGCACTAAAAAAAAAAAAGGGAGAAATTCGAAACTTTAACTTTTACTGTTTTTGTTTATTTGCATTGCATTCATTTTAAATTTTTCTTGCATTTAGCATTAGCATTAATTTTACGTCCCGGGACATGCATGCTTAGATTTTCATACAAAATTTCATACGAATTATTAATCGTATACTAACTATCTTTTTTTTTTATTATGTATAGGTAAGCGATTGTGGACATTCCGGGGCCGACGGGGATGTATTTGACCCACATTGCGAACAAACGGAGGTAATCTCCTTAAATTTATTTTCTACTTTCAAATGTGTTTATAATTATATTTAGTTAAAATCATTTCAGATGCATTCAGAAAGCACGGAGGATTGTACGAGGGAAGCCGGAGGGATTTTCTCGACCGCACCAAAAAAAGGGAGAAACTCGAAACTTTTACTTTTACTGTTTTTTTTATTTGCATTGTATTCATTTTAAATCTTTCTTACATTTAGCATTAACATTAATTTTACGTCCCGGGACATACATGTTTAGAGTTTTATATCGATGCATACTAACTATCTTGGTATTTTTTCTGTGTAGTTAAGCGATCGTGGACATTGTGGGGCCGATGGGGATGCATTTGACCCATATTACGAACAAACGGAGGTAAGTTCTTTAAATTTATTTTTCTACTTTCAAATGTCTATGTATTTATATTTATTTGAAATCATTTCAGATGCATTCGGGATGCACGGATGATTGCATGAGGGAAACACAATGGATTTTCTCGAACACACCAAAAAAAGGGGAGAATTTCGAAACTCTAACTTTTATTGGTTTTGTTTATTTGCATTGCATTCATTTTAAATCTTGCTTGCATTTAGCATTAGCATTAATTTTACGTCCCGGGACATGCATGCTTAGATTTTCATACAAAATTTCATACGAATTATTAATTTTATATCGATTATTTATCGCATACTAACTATCTTATTTTTTTATTATGTGTAGGTAAGCGATCGTAGACATTCCGGGGCCGACGGAGATGCATTTGACCCACATTACGAACAAACGGAGGTAAACTCCTTAAATTTATTTTTCTACTTTCAATTGTCTGTGTACTTATATTTATTTGAAATCATTTCAGATGCATTCGGGAAGCGCGGAGCATTGCACGAGGGAAACAGATGGGATTTTTTCGACCGCACCAAAAAAAAAAAAAAGGGAGAACTTCGAAACTTTTACTTTTACTGTTTTTTTTTTTATTTGCATTGAATTCGTTTTAAATCTTTCTTGCATTTAGCATTAGCATTAATTTTACGTCCCGGGACATGCATGCTTAGATTTTCATACAAAATTTCATACGAATTATTAATTTTATATCGATTATTTATCGCATACTAACTATCTTATTTTTTTATTATGTGTAGGTAAGCGATCGTAGACATTCCGGGGCCGACGGAGATGCATTTGACCCACATTACGAACAAACGGAGGTAAACTCCTTAAATTTATTTTTCTACTTTCAATTGTCTGTGTACTTATATTTATTTGAAATCATTTCAGATGCATTCGGGAAGCGCGGAGCATTGCACGAGGGAAACAGATGGGATTTTTTCGACCGCACCAAAAAAAAAAAAAGGGAGAACTTCGAAACTTTTACTTTTACTGTTTTTTTTTTATTTGCATTGAATTCGTTTTAAATCTTTTTTGCATTTAGCATTAGCATTAATTTTACGTCCCGGGACATGCATGCTTAGATTTTCATACAAAATTTCATACGAATTATTAATTTTATATCGATTATTTATCGCATACTAACTATCTTATTTTTTTATTATGTGTAGGTAAGCGATCGTAGACATTCCGGGGCCGACGGAGATGCATTTGACCCACATTACGAACAAACGGAGGTAAACTCCTTAAATTTATTTTTCTACTTTCAATTGTCTGTGTACTTATATTTATTTGAAATCATTTCAGATGCATTCGGGAAGCGCGGAGCATTGCACGAGGGAAACAGATGGGATTTTTTCGACCGCACCAAAAAAAAAAAAAGGGAGAACTTCGAAACTTTTACTTTAACTGTTTTTTTTTTATTTGCATTGAATTCGTTTTAAATCTTTCTTGCATTTAGCATTAGCATTAATTTTACATCCCGGGACTTGCATGTTTAGAATTTTATACTTTTGAACACACTGTTGCTATTCTTGAATTAGTAGCCAAAATCAATGTATGCTTTTACACACAAGGTTCGAATAAGCTGTTACTGATCAATCTCCACATAGTTTGGTTGATTCTGTCTTTTCCTCTACTTGCACTAATAATTAATTGCTTTTTGCATTTACTTAACATAATCAATCGTTCTAACTTGCCCTCCCACATGTCCGCAAGAAGATGATGCTGCAGTTACCATCTGATTTAGCTCGTTTGTCGTCTACCCACATGTAGCAATGTTGTCTTTCAATGAATGATTTTGTTGCAGCTGAAGTCGAGCCAAATGGCATTCCCGGAAACAGTTTCATCTCGGGACTCCAGACAGCCATATTCCAAGATTAGTAACCTTTACAGCTTAGCTCTCTTCCTTCCCCATCTTACATTGTTCAACCTTGTGGTTGGCAAGTATATTCATATGGTGATGTTGTCCAGTTGCCAGGAATTGTGTTCTTGTCTTAAAGATTTAGTTACTCAGCTCACCTGATCCTTTCTATTTCTATTTCTATGCAACTTTCTGATTTCAGCTGAAACATTACAAGAACGATGCTATGCTGGTTTAAGTCACATCGACTATTCGTTCATCACTACAAGTGTCATTACAAGAACGATGCTATGTGGAGCCCCACCCATGTTGTAGTGTGTATATATATATATACTAATACTCGTGTGAGCGCGGCAAGTTTTTGTTATGGTAGAATATTTTTTTGTAATGTTTTTATATAAATACGTTGTATGAGTTCATTAGCGGTGCATATTTTACATTTTTAATTTCCGGAAAGAAAAGATGATATAAATATATTTTAGAAAAAAAAATTTTAAAAATTGACCGATTTAGTTTTACGAAAGAAGAAGAGACCGAGAGAAAATGAGAAAAAAATAATATAAATATATTTTAGGGAGAAAAGTAAAAAAAATGTTGACCGAATTAGTCTTGTGAGAGAGAAAGAGAATCAGAGAACACATAATATAAATATATTTTATAGACAAAAAGAGAAAAATATATATATATATATTCAACCAAATTAGTCTTAGGAAAGAGGTAAAAAATTAGAGAAAGAGAAATAAGATTTTTTGTGTATTATTCAAAATATTATTCTAATAATATACATTGATGTATTTTGAATTTCTAAAGAAATTTTAAATACGAATATGAATATATAAATTTAAATAAATAAATTTTTATGAGAGAGAATAGAGAAAAAAAAAATGTCTTAACTAATTGGTTGGATGAAAAGAGGAGAATCGCCCGGTCAGTTGGGCCGGAAAGAGAAGAGAAAGTGTCAAGAAAGTGTCTGGTCAGATGAGAAGGATGAGAACCGACCTCTCAGCTTCAACCGACTTCTCGCTGGCTGGTACAAATATCCTCGAGGCCGACCGACTTCCCTCTCCAATCCTTTCCATTCCATTCCATTCCAGGCCAACTGACTTCTCCGGTGCTCTTAATCTTCCATCGCCTTCTTCATGGTTTCGTCGCCAGTAGGGCAAAATCCAGCCCTAATCTTTTAATCTTCTACAATTCCTTCATTCCTTCAGTCAGTCGGTCGTCATCCACAGGGCTGGAGGGATCTACCGCATGGCAAAAGAAGGCTTTCTTTCTGGTCGTTTATTGGGTCTTTATCTCTTACAAAATATATATATATATATATAATAAGAAATGTGTGACCGAATTGGTCGGATGAAATGAGGAGAACCGTCCAGTCGGTTGGGATGGAAAGAGAAAAGGAAGTTTCTGGTCGGATGAGAAATAAGATAACCAAACCATTCGGTTGAAACAGAAAGATACGTGAAAGAAATATAATAAATTACATAAATATCAATATTTTTTATAAGCTGTGCAACAAATCAATTTTAAAAAATTTAGTTTTTTTTTTAAAATATTATTTTATATTATACTTTTGTTTAGCTAATTTTTACAAACTTATATATATTAATATATTTGAAATTTCTAATTAAATTTTAAAAATTACATAATATATAAATTTGTAGATAAATAAACCATAAAAAAATAAATAAGTTTCTGACCGCTTTGGTCGGATGATAGGAGGAGAACCGTCCAGTCGGTTGGGATGGAAAGAGAAGAGGAAGTGTCTGGTCGGAGGAGGAAGAGGAAAACCGTGCAATCAGTTGGAATAGAAAGAAGAGAGAATAAAATATAATAAATTATATAAAAAAACATAATATATTAATATTTTTTAATTCTTTTTTTGGAATTGTAAATCTCTATCACGTTACAATATGCAACTTAGAGTTTTTTTTTTTTTTTTTTATGGTAGAATATTTTTTTTATATTAATATGTTGTATGAGTTCATTAGCTTGTGTGCATATTTTGCATTTTTAATTTCTTGCAAATAAAAGATAATATAAAGATGTGGACGGATGTGGCCTTTTTGATACTCAATCTTAGGGCAATAGATATAAAGATAATCAGCATTCGGGCAACTGCGACATTTATCATACTGCGGTGGTCGGGCATTCTTGCGATTATCTCTGTGGTGACCGAATCAATAGTAGTAGCCTTGAGCATATTGAAGCGAGTGTCCTCAAACAAAATCTTCTTCATCGCTGTTTTCAAAGAAGGCAAGGGATGGTGATGAAGCAAGGAAGCACACACAGACTCATATTTTGGACCAAGCTTCATCAAGAGCTGAATCAACCGAAATTGCTTAATCTGTATGTCGGCCTCGTCAATGCGATCCCACATAGACTGTATAGTAGAGAAGAACTCATTCATATTTTGGCGCGAGTCATGTGTCAGTGCATTCAATGACCCTATAAGCTTATAATAATGCATGCCTCCAGTAACCTGATATCGATGCTGCAAATAATCTCAAGCTTTATTGCCAGTGTCCATGCGGCGAAGTTGAATCTGAATAGACTTGGAATAGGTATTCCGACTCCAAGTAAGAATAATGTGGTTTTTACTATCCCACTCGTCCAAGGCATCCCGATAGTCTATGAGATCCGTATTGTTGATGGACGCTGTAAAAGTAACAACAGGAGCAATCGGCGCAGAAAAGTCGCCAATAACATAGCATCGTAATCTTTTACCAATCAAGAAACTCTTCATGGATTCAGCCCACAAATTATAATTATCACCAGAAAGAATAACAGTAATCCCGGAAGCGTCTACACAATCCATATTAAGAGCCATACTATGAAGCGAGAAAATCAAGAATAGTATAGCGCGCAAAAGGATCGTGCAGAAAATCACACTGGACAAACCAACCGTGCAAAATAAATTCAAATCAAATGGCAAAACTGACCATACTAGGATATCGGGGATCGAAGCAAAAGACGGCGGCCGGAAACCGCTTGACGTGGCGGGAAGGAGGCGGTCGCTGGAGGGATACGACATCGATCTGCGTTGAAGCGCGTGCGGCTGCCACACGCCGGCATTGACGGCAAAAATAATGATGATTAGTAGCTATGTCTATCCCAGAAGAAAAATAAGCTATAATACCATATTTAAATATTTGAAAAAAATAAAAATTGTATATCAACTTAAAAAGAGAGTTCATATATATAAGCATATATATATGGGACTCAAATAACAATATATAAAAATATTAAATACTTTATATATATATAACATCAAATTAAATATATTTTTATTTTATTTTATTATTATTAATATTATTATTATTATTATTATTATTTTTAATCGATAGTCTGTCAAAAATTTCCAATTTGTAAAAAGTTCAAAAAAAAACACACGGGAGCCTATATTAGTATTACATATTTACATTACTAGGTGTAATGTGTGAATATTATATGCTTTGTTTAAATATAAATTTTAAAATTTTTTTAAAATGATAAAATATTTAGTGTAATTTATTTCGTCGAATTTTAGTTTATAAACTATTAAATTCGATAGAATTTATTAACACACATTTGAAAATCAGCCGCGTGAAAATCCGTCAAATATATATATATATATATATATTTTTTATTTTTTTTATTTGTGTGTTTCCCCGCCGAACAGAACTTCTCATGTTAAGTCAAAAAGGATATTCCATCTGTACCTTTTATTGCCTTCCAAATTTGCAGATTATTATCAGTTATAATATTGATTTATTTACTTTATCGGTACTATTAATTCATTGTATGTGTATATAATAGTATGGAATATGAATATTAATATTAATTAATTGATTATAAAAGAGTTGGGCGTATCAATCATTGGCTTATTGTTCATTGAACATGGAAGGAACATACTAGAATTGAGCGATTATAATTAATTTATTATTATCAAAATAGTAATACTAATTATAGTGTGTTTGTTTGGGGAAGACTTTTTTGTCACTATTCATTCAATTTTTTTTTTAAAAAAAAAATCAAATCAAACACCTATTTTTCATTTTTTATATTATACTAAAAATCAATTTTACATTCAAAATATCACATCAATACCTATTCAAATTCAAAACTTTTACTATTCAACTCTCAATTCAAAATCCAAATCACAAACAAACACACTGGAGAATAGTGACGTGGCAATTATATTAAAAAGGTTTCCAAAAATTGCAAAATATTTTACAAGTCCAAAGCCAGCTATGCGACGCGACGTCCACTCATTTGTTATAATACTAATAATTATTATAATTACAATAATAATATTATTATTATTATTATTATTATTATTATTTGTTGATTTCATCATACCTAATTTGAATTTGAGTTCGAAACCGAATTGGATCCTACCACTTTCCGTCTTCTTCACGTAATTTCTGATCATTTTCTTTAAATAAAATTATTGATTATATAATATTAAGCTATGTTTATAGTATAACATATTTTTAAAAAATTTGATATTATTATTTTCAAAGAATATTACATTTTTATTTATTTATTTATTTTTTTAACATGTTGGTAAATTTGTTTGATTTTGTATACATATACATATATAAAGTATTATTGACATGACAATTTGAATGAAGAAATATATCCTATGTTTGATATTTTAAGTGAATAATCTCTGTTTGATTTATATGATAGATAAAGATGGATTTAATGAAATTTCTGATAAATTGAACTTCATAAAATTTTCAATTGAGTTTCTAAATGAAGTAATTGACTCGATCATCTCTATTATTCAGCAATCAAGATTAATTTTAATTTACATCATGTTTAGAAAACAATACATTTTATTAAAAAGTCGTATAGTTGAATAATATTAATTTAATTTTTTTTTTCAAATTAAAACTAAATACACCATATGTTCTACTCCCTTCGTCCCAGAGTTACAGTCTTAATTGGGTTGGACACATCATTGGTAGTGGTAAAAAGTATAGATAAAAGATTTTTTTGCTCTCGTGTATATTAATGTAAAAAATAGTGGCAATTATGTAATAAAAATGAAAAAATAGAGGTAGTTATACGGTTATATGGTTATTTATGGAAATAAGACTATTATTTTGGGACGGAAAAAAATGATAAATAAGACTATTGTATTGAGACGGAGAAAATATATTTTTTCTTTTTTGTTATATAAATCTTTCGAACTCATATGAAAAATTATCTTGAATAACTACATATATATATATATATAACTCAGGATCATCTTGAATTTTTTATGATTCAAAGCAAAAAATAATTGTAAACTTCATAAATATATGATTAAATTTATTTTTAAAATAATATTAACGAAAAATATAATAATAAATTTCAAAAAATAAAATATTTTAATAATGTATCCAAATAGATATATGCACAAAGTATATATCAGTCGAACATAAAATAA